GGTTGCTTTTCTTTAAGTGAGCCTGCAACCCATTATACCTCCCTGACATGTTGCTGGCATTATCATAAGCCTGCCCCCTGCAATTTGACAGCTCTAACCCTAGATTTTCCAACACAGACATGACACAGTTAGCCAAACTTTCACCTTTATGGCTAGTAATGGGCTCAAACCCCACAAAGCGTTCAACAACACTGCCCTCTTTGCTAACAAAACGGAATATGAATGTCAATTGGTCCACATGAGATAAATCTGGGGTTGAATCCACAATGATAGAGTAGGATTTGCTTGCTTGCAGTTCATCTGCTATAGCCTGTTTGGTTTTTGCACCCATCAATTCAATGAATTCCTCACAAATGGTGGAGGACAGATATGAGGTATTACCTCGACCCATCTGCCCAAACTTTCTGATGTGATCCTTTAGAAAGGGATCAAATTCAGCCAGGACCTCCAGAATACCAAGGTAGTTCCCATTGAGAGGAGACCCTAACGATTCATTTTTACCCCTAAATGCAAGGCCCCTTTCTGCAAGGAATTTAATGACTGCAACAACTCTTTGTAACACCTGCCTCCAATAGCTGCTCTCTGCCTGAAACTGTTTGAACAGGTCTGCATCAACTGTGGCACCTTTGGCGTGGTTCAAGACTGCTTGCATGCAGGTTATGTGCTCAGCACTTCGCTCATGTTCACCAAATCTTTCTGAGTGTTTCCAATCACAATAGCCTGTCACAAAAGAATGCGTTTTTGGGGAAAACAGTTTGCATGCAAAGCAGTAAACATTACCAGTAGAGGGAGAGTACATCAGCCACTCTCTTTGTACTCGTTGTCCATTGGGCAAGTGTGAAGTAAAATGTTCATTGTTTAGGCATCGGGTTTTGCCTCCTAGCCCACTGTTCCTCACAGAAGCTGGATAATGGCTGTGACGGTTGTGAAATGATTTTGCACCTCTTTGAATAAGAACTTCCTTCATTGACTCAGTGAGGGTCTCAGCCCATTTAGCGGGATCACTAGGTAGAGTTGTCACTGTAGATGGTGTTGAAGAAAGATTCAGCTCATTTTCTATGCTGTCCAGAGGTGCAGTGACCTCACATTCATCCGAGCAACTGGCTACTGCTGAATTGGTTGAATCATAAGCATCAGAAGCATTTGGTTCATTGTCTACACTTGTAGTGGTCTCAGGATCTTGGGAGCTACATGCTAGCTCAGGTGCATTGCTAACCTTAGCTGAATTTGCAGTAGCATTTATAGAATTGCTTTCAGCAGATGTCTTTGTACTGAAGAAGCTGGAGATATTTGGAACACTCTCAAGTAAAACTGATTCCTTTTTTTTCTTTTCTTGGCTCTTTGCCTATCACAACAGATAGACCATCTATGTGTGTGTGTGTGTGTGTGTGTGAGTTTGTTTGTGTGTTTATGATCGGTGCTGCTTCCTTCAAGTGTGTGAGGTGATTTAGAAAACTAGCAACCCAGCATCAACACTCCAAAGCAGAGAATAACAGCTTACTAGCATAGACAATTGAGAGCAGAGAATCAACTGATTCGTCTGATAGACAGCAGGAGAGCAGAGTGGTCAGTGATGATCGAATCAAGAAAATGTCTAAATGGCAAGGGAACAGACTGATTTGTACTGAGGAGAAAGAGAGAGAGAGCCAATTACAGTGAAATATATTCCAAAAGAGCCAAGTGACTAGCTGAAGGCAGGGACAAATGCCTTGGAGTGACCAACAAGAGTGCAAAGTACCAAATGGCAAAATGTGGGAAGACCAACAGGCAGATCTGCTTTTACCACTTATCTTCACAACCAAAAAGTCGCTAAATTATGTTTTTAGTCGCTAGCCAGGTATGGCCAAAAGACACGAAATCTAGCGGCAAAGTCGGTCAATCACACTGACAGTGAAACAAATATTTTGAAAAGATAATAATTGTACAACTTTGTGCACTTTTGTCTTCTATCTAAATATTTTCTCAAAGGACACCAAAATGTTGCTATCTGCAGGCAGCTTGCTAGCTATGATGGCAGCAACGATGTCTGCCAGACAGGAGAGAGTGGTCAGTGACGATCGAATCGAGAAAATGACAAAATGGGTCAAAAACCAAAAAGTTATTAACTGACAGCAGTGACAAATGTCAGACTGTAAACTTTTTCGAAAGAAAAGGACAAAATGGGAAGATGCTGATAGTAACAGCAAAATGGAAAATATAAGAATTTCCAAGTAATGCTCAACTCAAGTGTGTGTGTGTGTGTGCGCGCGCGTTAAACTTCTTGTTGAATGATTTCAAATTATCTCTGAGTCTGAACTGAGGGAAAGGAAACCAAATTTTGAGCAGTCTCTCACGAGTTCAAAATACCAAATGAGGAGATTCTAAAAGAACAGACCGGTTTATGAAAGACTCGATGGGGGAGGGGCACAGCTAAGAATACTTGAGTGAGATTCTGTGATCCAAATTCGAGATAGAGCTTTTTGATAATGATAATTTGTCAGAGTAAGGTTGTGTAATCAAAATTTGAGAATGAGCTTTGTCAATCAATCAAGAATATTTGCATTAAGTTCTGTGATCAAAATTCAGAAACAACCTTTAATAATTGATAAAGAATATGTGAGTGAGGTTGTGTGATCCATCCAATTTGAGAATTAGCTTTGATAATAATGATTGAGAGCCTCTGGCCCTCTGTGGATCATGGCCGCGGGGCCAATTTTGCCTGGCCCCTTGGGGTCTCTGTTGGTCGTGGCCGCGGGGCCAAGTTGGCCTGGCCCCTTGGGGCCTCTGACCCTCTATGGATCGGGGCCAAGTTGGCCTGACCCCTCGGGGCCTCTGGCCCTCTATGGATCATGGCCGCGGGGCCAAGTTGGCCTGACCCCTTAGGACCTCAGGCCCTCTGTGGGTCGCGGCCGCGGGGCCAAGTTGACCTTGCCCCTTGGGGCCTCTTACCCTCTATGGATCGTGGCCGCGGGGCCAAGTTGACCTGGCCCCTTGGGGCCTCTGACCCTCTATGGATCGGGGCCAAGTTGGCCTGACCCCTCGGGGCCTCTGGCCCTCTATGGATCGTGGCCACGGGGCCAAGTTGGCCTGGCCCCTTGGGGCCTCTGACCCTCTATGGATCGGGGCCAAGTTGGCCTGACCCCTTGGGGCCTCTGGCCCTCTATGGATCGTGGCCGCGGGGCCAAGTTGACCTGGCCCCTTGGGGCCTCTGGCCTTCTGTGGCTTGCGGCCGCGGGGCCAAGTTGGCCTGGCCCTTTGGGGCCTCTGGCCTTCTGTGGGTCGTGGCCGCGGGGCCAAGTTGGCCTGGCCCCTTGGGGCCTCTGACCGTCTATGGATCGTGGCCGCGGGGCCAAGTTGACCTGGCCCCCTGGGGCCTCTGACCCTCTATGGATCGTGGCCGCGGGGCCAAGTTGGCCTGGCCCATTGGGGCCTCTGACCGTCTATGGATCGTCGCCGCGGGGCCAAGTTGGCCTGGCCCCTTGGGGCCTCTGACCGTCTATGGATCATGGCCGCGGGGCCATGTTGGCCTGACCCCTTGGGGCCTCTTACCCTCTATGGATCATGGCCGCGGGGCCATGTTGGCCTGACCCCTTGGGGCCTCTTACCCTCTATGGATCATGGCCGCGGGGCCAAGTTGGCCTGACCCCATAGGACCTCAGGCCCTCTGTGGGTCGTGGCCGCGGGGCCAAGTTGACCTGGCCCCTTGGGGCCTCTTACCCTCTATGGATCATGGCCCCTTGGGGCCTCTTACCCTCTATGGATCGTGGCCGCGGGGCCAAGTTGGCCTGGCCCCTTGGGGCCTAAGATTATTATTTTTGCAAAAGTAGTTTTGCTTGGGTCGCGGCCGCGGGGCCAAGTTGGCCTGGCCCCTTGGGGCCTCTGGCCCCCTGGGCCCGGTAGGCCCGGTCATTAATCCACCTATGGTTGGGGGGACTTGGTTTCCCGCATCCCACCTGTGCCTGACTTACGACCTAACCCTGTGCGGGCGATATGGCCGCCTTTAAGTATGTCTGCTGAGGACTGCTGCAGCCTTCCAAAGCAACGCCTATCTATCCTTTGGTGCTGTGCATCAAGACTTCCCAGAGCACAGATTTGTACACATGAACCAACCCACTGAAATACTAATAATCCAAATACTCGATGGTCATACAAACACAGCAATGTGTCTGGCTTTATTAGAGTCACTCACAGCGCTAACGTAAACTGGCCCCTATAGGATGTCACCCTCTCTTTATGGTATGCCTGGAATGCCCAGATGAAACAAAAAAACAACAACAAAACAACTTGACCTTATAGCTTAAACCTACTGTTTTTGTGTGCTTTTTGGCTCCAGGCATGGGCAGCTGTAAGAAAATCATATTTTAAAGACTGACGTGCTGCAGCAGCCAACACAGTCTCTTTCATTTTAACATTGTCAAAGATTTAATCGTTAGAAAAAAATGTAGATTTGCTTAATTTTGCATGAAAATAGGCCCTCACTGGCTAACACTATCAGCACAGCTGATATAAAATTACTGATAGTAGACAAGTAACAGGGTCCAGGAGATGGATGCAGTCAGGGACTCCAATAATTGGTATTCAAAGAGGCCCTGATCTGATCCAACTAAAATCCAGTCCTAAATGCTTCCCCTGGATCTGAAAACAAGTTTCTATTTAACTGATTTATAGATATAAAAAGTTTTAACAGTTAAATATAATAGGATTACTGTTTTAGGTTTTAGGAAATGGTCCTTTCTAAATCTAAAACAATACAGTGCTTCTTTAGCCCATACGCCAGAAACAGTAGTTAAACAATCTTCAAGCCATGTGCTTATTTTTTTATTTATCTTATTTAATTTTTGCATAGTTAATATGAACTAGAACTAACAGAAAGGGACAGTGGTAAAAAGCTGAAATATGTTTTTGCTTATTGGATAATTTCAGTGTATTCTTGTTAAGCTTACTAATTTATTGCTTAGCTACAGGATTCCTGTGTTTTGAGGCTGCAATTTAATCAAACTTCTCCTCTTTCCTTCCACCAGGCTCTTGTTTCTGGGTGGCAGTTCTTGATGGGCGCGTCGTGGGCATCGTGGCAGCGCAGGGCCACGAGGACGACAACACAGTGGAGCTGCGACGCATGTCGGTGGACTCTCGCTACAGGGGCAAAGGGATCGCAAAGGCCTTGGGCCGTCGAGTTCTAGAGTACGCCGTGCGAAACAACTACGCCGCGGTGGTCCTCGGTACCACCGCTGTCAAACTGGCCGCCCACAAGCTGTACGAATCGCTGGGCTTCTGCAGGACGAGCCAGAGCGAGGACTACAGGCTACCGGGGATGAGCCGATCGCCGCTGGAGAGGCTCTTCTTTCAGATCCGCCACAGCCGCTACCGCCTGCAGCTCCGTGAGGAGTGAGAGGTGAAGGAGGGAGAGAGAGAGATGGAGGAGGGGAAGATGGAAAGGAAGGAAAGAGGGACAGAGAGAGCAAACATCCTCCTTGACCTTTGAACCCCAACTGCATCCTCTCCTCCCACAGCTTTTATTTATTTTGTGCCATTCTAGATATGTTTAACACTTTTACTATTTCCTAGCGAAGTCACTAATGTTTTTCTATCGGTTCTTAATGTTGTTTTAGTGTTTTATATTTACTCTGATGGAGTATATATTTTTTCAGTTTTATTAAGCTATTTTTTATTTTTTGGCATTTTTCTCCCTCCCTGTTTACTAGAGAAATAAAACGAGGCACCTTTAGGGGATAACTGTCTGGCCTCCCTCCCCCCTGGCAAATTGAATGCAACAAGGAAAATACATTCTGCTGCAATGCAGGGGGGGCGGACAGGAAGGGGCAGTGGGAAAACATTTAACAGCTCCAGCAAAGATGTGAAAAAAAAATACTTAAAATTAAGGAACCTCATCTTTATTTACAATGTCAAAATGATGAGGATTTCCACAGGACAAATTAAGATCAAACTTTTTTTAAACACAGCGTTAGTTTTAAACATCTACCAATAGATCCCATTGCAATCCTTATCTCCGACGAAAATCATCCCACATCTACCTTTATTAACGGCACGTGCTCTCGTCTTCCTCATTCTGAGGATGAAGATGAATGCATCGGTTCATTTTACATCCCTGGGAACAGAAAGTCATTGACTTTGTTAAAAGCAAATTGTTAAACTTTACCAGTGCTGGCAGTTAGCCTAGCAACACTTACATATTGTGTAACACACATCCCACCACACACACATATAGAGGTAATTAAGAAGATGGCCTCTGTTTTAAGAAAGCATATTGAAGCCCAGGAGAGCAGATTGCCAGGGTGAGATTCAGGATGTTAACCAGAATAAGCTGCGTTTATCCTGAACGTGTTAATAAACAAAGTGACTTATTCTAAACATCTGCCTCTTTAGTTCCTCCAAACAAATCTCCAATTCTGAGTTTTTTTTTATATAATTGAATCAATGCGGCACTCGTTTTATCTCTCTGGTTCTGTGGACGGGTTTGTGGTTTAAGGTGAGGGGAGGGTGGAGCTTTCTCGCTCAGAGCTTGCGTTTGTGTGATCACTGAGGGCTTGCCATGGCGTATGTTTGTGGATTCACGAGGCAGGTGTGTTTTACGTCACACCAGGCCTCTGTCGAGTGTTTGAGGACAAATTTAATTTTAAATTTTTTTTTTCGGGGTGGGATGGGCTAAAAATGAAATATTATCTAACTTAAACTACTTTATATGTGTGCTTATGAATTGTTTACTGATCAAATCAAGTTAAAGTCTAACATTTTGAATATGTTAACAGCCTAACTGACAAAAAAAAAAAGGTTTTGTAATTTTCTAACTTTAACGAAGCTCCACGTTTAAATATGCAAATTTTACTGTCAAAACCACGACAATGACGAAGTAGCTTCAGTCAAACACTTAACACGCATTCAGGTTATTGGATAAAACACGACAACTTAGCAATACTTTGAAATGTACAGTTACGTGACTGAGCACAAATTTCCAAAACCAGTATTAGAACCCATGTATTGGCATGAGCATCCCTCCTGTGTGTTTTTACTGTGTATAGAGCTGAATACTCATGTAGCAAACGTCGACGTTTCTCTCCTACCTGCTTACTCCGACCCAACAACCAGCAGGAGATTCAGCAATCCGTGACTCTGAGCCTTAGTTGTGTCATCAGACCGTTTTCATAATGCTAAATTAAATGTACAGCAAAGCATAAGAAAAAAAAAAGCACATAAAGAGAAAAAATAAATAGCATTTGTCCCAAATCAGCACCATACCTTACTTTCCTTTACCCTCTGACCTACTCATGACTCTGTCTGCAACCCTGGGCTGGACAAAAAAGCCCAAATACCCTATTCATAACCTTCTTATCTCTGCATGTGCCCCCCTCCAAGCCTTGCTGGAAAGCTTTAATTATTTCATTTCAAACTGGTTGGACCACTCCAAGACCCGGTCCCCAATCTGAGAGCAGTGTGACGACACCTTTGCATCTAGGGGACCGAGTGGCGTCAGGTTGCACCTGATGGATGGTTGCGTGAGCACACAGAGCGACATACTGTGCGTGCTTGGTTAAGAGTTGGTGCAGAAATATAGATTACGCTTACCAACCGCCTGGACGACCTTGTGCCCACCAGCTCCCCAACTGTAGAAAGCAAACAGCAATGCAAGAGCGGCATGTCCTTTGTACCCAGTGTGTGTCCGGTGCCTGCCCTGGAAATGCATAGGTGAAAAAATACATGTACTATATGAAATATACATATATATAGATAGATAGATATATAAGAGAAAATATTCCATGTTTTTCCTTAAAAAAAGAAAAAAAAGAACTGTACCATCTGCATGAATTGTGTCTTTGAATGCAAATATAACTTAAGGGGAGGAACTCTGACCACATGGCTCACAGAAAACCTTGTTTACATGATCTAAGATGGTAAGAATGATCTGTAACTATCGCTACCAGCCACAACTATGTAACTAAAACTTACACGAGGCGGTAAAAAGTTATCTAGAAGCTTTAAGCCACATCTAGAGGCTTTGTCTCAGTTTAAAGCAGCTAATGGAGGCATATAACTTTCATTATCCTGTTGTTAGACCAGCCTAAAAAAAACAAACTCTTTTAAGGCGTTGGACCATGGTGCAGAAAAAGCACAAATCACAAAATCCTGTAGGTGTTTACAAAACCCGATGCACCAGGGGACCAAAGTAGAAGCTATACTTTAAGTTCTTAAACGTACAAAAAACACGTTTACCTTTTAGGCATGGGCTGGTATGAGATTCTCAGGGTGGAACCTTAAATAAAAACACCAGGCTTTCACTGCATTAGTGTTTACACAAAATCATAACAACTAAGATGTTTCACACGATTCAATGGCTTCATTTAAACCCCAAATCGAATATTATTTCTGCTGCTTTGAAAATTATATATTGGTTCCAGTTATAATAATTCAATTTAGTTGTGACCTTCATGTAATCTTAAGAAATACAGGATTAAAAACCTGCTAATTAGGTTCTCATTGCAAAGAAATGTATACCTGGGAGCTGAGATTAGGTTATTTAGTCGGGGTATCTGCTCCAGCAGAGTTGACAGTCAGCTGCTTAAAAGGGCATTTTATTTATTTTTATTTTAAAATCTGTTTTTTAAACCCTTGGGATGCTCTAGATAGCTGTAACTAGCCCATGCCTTCATCACAGCTAGTTATGAATTATACAGCCTTCCATAATGATTTATATTTGACTTAACCCAACATTGGACATAAATTCGAAATGAATTATCTATCAAAACCACAATTTTAAGACTCTAATGGTTTCTTCTCAATGAATCCCTCTTGTCATTCATACCAAGTGAAATGCAACACTTCTGTTACACAGCCAATCCGTTTCCTCACTCCTCGACCAACATCTTCCTGATTTAACACTGTGCTCCCATCTGACAAAACAAAACAAGATGACAGGCAACGCGTTAAGAGTCACAGCTCAGTTTGAGGCATCACAATAATCAGACTGTTCTGTTTTACTAAGAATCATCTGTGCTGAAGGAGAAGATTTTCTTGTTAGACGTCTTACTTTGATGCAGGCCAGCGGGTCTTTCAGATCAAGAAGGTTAAATGTGTCATTTTCCAATTTAACAAGAAGATTTAGATGCTTTATTACACATTCTGGGATAACTCAGTCATGCTGACAGACATATTAAGAAGGAAGGTAACATCATTCAAAATGCTTTTGCCCAAGACCTTATGCACTGGAATCAAGGGTGTGGACTGCATAGCTTAACCAAGTATAAGGGCAAATTCTGACTCCTAAAGATGAAGTGCACTGACTGTAGTATAATGCATTGATTTACTTGTGGTCTGAGCAATGTATTGTTTTCTACTTCACTCGAATGCTTTGCTCTGTGAAGTCTTGCCTCTTTTTGAGGTCTTGCATATCTAATGTTAGAATGTAGTTTCTTGTATTAAACATCAGTGTTAGCAAACATATGCTGTATATTTAGTTATGCACCATTTTCTTTTCTAATATTCTGCTGATGTACAATCCAAAAATTTTTTTTTTTTTTTTGTTGTTGTTGTAGAATGCTTACTTATTGAGCTGAGGCTGAAGTCAGGATGTATATGTTGAAGAAACGTGGGGGGGATTTTCTTTTTTTTATTTCTTTCCTTGGGCGGCCACATTTATTTTAAAAATGGATGGAATATCTGTAATTGTGATTATTTTCTCTTTTGTGTTATTAACGAGGAACGAAGCTCATTTTGTTCTAAACTGCACAAACGGAAACTGTGAGTGTGGCGTTCTTGAGCGACAGCATGGAGAACGGACACTCGCAGGCATGAATGTAAACTGCCAACGTTTTGTTTCAAGCCTTTTGCTGATTGCCTTTTTTTTCTGCTCTCCAAATGAAAATACCTGTGGGAAAGAACATCTGCTGGTTGTTTCAGTAATTAACTCAACCACTCTATGAATTATCAAGCATTTGGCGTGTTTGTAAATAGCTGCATCTCTACCAACTGCTCTGTAGTTACCTGTCAGCCTGGTTGGTTTGGAGGGATCCTGATGAGTTGGTGTTTGTCACAGAAAACATGTCGCGGTGGGGGGGAACGTCCATCGAACGATGAGAGAGGAATGTGCCAACACTGGCAGTCAAGGGGGGGTGAGGTCAGCTGACTCCCCCTCTCTCTATGCTGCTGTAAAGGACTATGGATGGGGGCCACACCTTTCAAGGAACATTTAAGCACTTGTAGCACAACTGTGTTCTGTTTTACTATTACTGTACGCTACTGATTGTTTCTTCTCTCCTTTGTCTTAACATTCAACATGAAGCTTATGGATGACATCTTTTTCTTTCCTTTTTAACTCCTGTATTATCAGCTGTATGTATAAGCAGATATATAGAGGGCTATTGCTCTTGTGTAGGCAAAAAGATTTGCCAAAGGTGACAGTACTGTGTCGTGCAGAAAAAGATTCATGCTCCTTAAACTTTTCTAGGTTTAGTCACTTTACAGAGCCACAATTTGTTGTGCTTCATTGGTGTGTCATGTGATAGATCTGCACAAAGAGTGCATGTTTTAGAAGTTAAATCTGTGCTGTGCATTTGTATTCAACCTCCACTAAATGTCTAGAGTAGGTTGTCTCCACCAGCTTTGCAAATCTAAAGTGAATTTTCAACATTCTTTATATGTGAAAATAGCTCAGCTATGTCAGATAAAATGGAGATCATGAGTAAGAAGTATTGCCACAGGTTCTTAATGATATTAAAGTCTGGACTTTGACCACTGTGGCTGTAGAACAGATATGTTCAGAGTCGGTCCCCGAGGGCTGCAGTCCTGCAGGTTTTAGAGGTTTCCCTGCCTCAGCACAGCTGATTTCCACTGATAGCTAATTAACAGGCTTTTGCTGAAAGGCAATCATCAGAATCAGCTATACTGAAGCTGAGAAACATTGAAATCCTGCAGGACGGTGGAACTCAAGGACCACCTTTAAACATGCCTGTGTAAAGAGTATTCACCTTTCTGGAAGGTGAAGCTACAACTTATCCAAATTATTTTACTCTATTTAGCTCCATCATATACCCACAGCATGATCCCACCAGCACCATGTTTAACCATAATATTTCTTTAGTTGCTTGGGGAAAAAAAATGTTTCTGTCAGCTGTGATTATAGGTGATCTTTTGTATTTAATTAATGTATTTACTGGATTTAGACGAAAAAGGGCAGAATACAAATGCACACCGCACCTTTCAGATTTTTGCTATGTCATGTTGATTTATTACAAGTAATCACAATGAAATAACTTGACTTTTGTGGGATCAATTTGACAAAATGTAGAATATCTTTGGAAGGCGCTGTCAATGCTGCATTTACCCCCCCCCCACTTCAACTTTACATATTTTTCCAAACATAATCCTAAAATTGTTTTCTTTGTAAAGACTTCCTGCTTATGTGCCATTTTATCAAGCAATAACTACAAAGACAAATCATGAAAGTAATTACAGACAACACAGGTTTTAGGAAAATAGATGTAATGCTGCATTCCCATCACCCCTCTCATCCTGCACCCACTACAGTGGCTCAGTCGCCAGCAGAATATCTGCAGTTACTGCTCACTGGATCAGCCTGAAGGGAAGACAGTCAAGTGTTTTCTTGTTTTGTATTTTAGTTTTTTACTGAAAAGATAAAGTGCACAGGTGTACCTCTGAATAATTGTAAAAGATGCCAAAAAAAGGGAGGAGGAGATGGAGGATGGATGCTAAAGAACGAACAGCTTGAAATGGTGCCGCTGCTCTGGAAAGTGATCTCTGCGCTGTACGACTCTTAACTCTGCTCTTAAACTCCTGGTCAATTTACTCCACCAAGACAACTGAAAAACCGTTAAAATGTTTACTACAAGTGAGACCGACTGTGTTTCTTCAAATCTTGTAATTGTAAAACTGTAAAGTATATTTCAATGTAAATAGCACTTTGGGTCATTTTTACACCTTTTATAACTGTGAATATGGATTTAAAATTTATATGAAAAGTATATTAACAAATAGTTTCAGAGCATAACTGTGGTGCTGGTAATACTCTGCAATCCCATAAAAATAAGTGACAGCAGACACTTTCAGTGGCAGCGGTACACACCATCTTGAACCCTTGATGGGTTAGGGCGCGGCCTTCTCTCCTCATGCCTGTGTGCTTGAAGTCTGCAGAGGCGTTTTCAAGGCAGAAGCTTTGTGACCTTGTAGCTTCGGACTGAGCCGTGTAGCTACATGAAGCTGCTGTGATGCAAATGTACTCTGTGCCCCTGGAGCGCTGTGGTGGCTGTTGTCTGTTACCAGGAGACTAAGCTGCAGAAAACAGCGGGGGACAGATGCACGCTGTGGGGAGGCAGGCCTTTCAGCTAGGATGCAGGAATGGCACTAATAAGGGGATGGATAGATAGGAGTTACCTAAAGGGGAACTTTTTACCAACAAAGAAAAAGAAGACTATTTAAATTAAGGTATAAACAACCAAAAGTGATGTTTTCCATATAGATTTCGAGTAAAGTGCAAAGCAAAGCGTTGCACATTCATATCACGCTCTAAAGGCCTGGTTGGTTCAATCATTCTTCCCCTTACCTCACTGAGAGTGCAATGGAACCCTGTTTTATCCTGGGGGGTGCGTTGGCCTTCCTTCCCTTTGACAGAATGCTGTATTATGACACCAGAAAAGCTATTATGCTAACTTTACCCCCATTTCTTTTATACTGACATTTGGAACATTGTATAGTTGTAAAGATTGACTGAAAGATGACTGAAAACATGGGTGTATATAAGCTGTATTGATTAAAGACAATGCATTGAGCTTTTACATGCTTAAAACATGTCAATTGTTCTTTTTTCCTTATTTCAGAAGCCAGAGTTGTGACTTCTTTGTTATTTTAAGAAGAATAACAAAACCATTTTTCTATAAGATAAATATAAACGTATTAAATCATACTGATTGTTCCTAAACTTTATGTAATAAGTTACAGCTCTGTATAAACGTTTTCAACTTTATCAGGGTTGTGTTGTAAAAACGAAACAAAAAAGAAATCACCATTCTTATGGCTTAATTAATTGAAGTATGCCATTTAATTGCACACTTAATTTTTAATCAGAGGCTCAAAGTTTTTCAAAATTTAAGTTAGGAAAGTTGACCAAAAGGTCCACAGAAGTCGAATGTTTCTCACTAATTACAGTCCTTTGAATCCAATATGGCCGCCTGGCATCTAAAATTTGGTGATTAATGAAACATGACATAAGATTTAATCTTAAATACCATAAATAAATGAAATTGTTAATAGGTTTGATTCTTGTTTATTTTACATCAAAGTTCTCTCCTGCGTTCCTCTTTTAAGATGTTGCTAAAGCTCTATTACCTTGACAAAAATATAAAACGACATTATTTGTTGCTCTTTATTAGGGATCCAAAGTCTGGGCAGAAATTGAAAAAATACTTAATTACAGAAACATATTTTCTAAAGGGATTTGTCAAAAATCTTCTGTATCACTAAAAGGGTATTTTCGGCAGTAAAAACAGCTGTTCTTGTTGAACAGTTAGTCTTTTAGATGTATATTTTCTTAACAATGGATGCTGACACACATTTTAGCATTAAGGATAAAAAAGTGCAAATATTAACTCAGCTAATTTTATATCTTTATCTCCCAATAATAAAGAAGTTTGATCTTCACACAGTTTTTTAAAGCAGCTTTTCTGTAAAGTTCTCTATCAGTGACGTAATAATGAAATAATCTGATCAAGTAAATTTTAACTGTGCTGCAGTCAAACAAAAGATAATAGATTGTTAATGTTTTAATCATTTACATTAGATATACATAAATTCATTTATTTAGTTATCAGGACTTAGAATATTAGAAAAATATAAAGATTAGCAGACTTTTTAAGACCGTTTAGAGAGCGTGCAGATAGAAAACAGACATTTTCTTGCACAGATAATTCTACTTTTCCACATTTTTAAACACTACAGCAACAAACATCATATTGTAAACAGCAGAACAGGGTTTTAAAATGCTATTTTAAATATAACATTTTAAGCACAATGTTAAAATGCATATTTATATGGCTCCCTTTACTGCAATACTCCTAAATATTTAAAAATCAAGTAAAATATCTGGCTAGTGGTCCTCAAATCAAATGCATAAAATGTTACCTCAGAGAACATTAGGTAACAAACAGCTATAGCTGTAGAGGAGTTCCACGGTTGAAAAACTGCATTCCAGACTTTGATTGCTTCACATAGCAATGCTTTATCAACCAAAACTGCACACAGAACGCTATTATCTGGTGTTCATCAGTCATCACAAAACCCCAACAATGAGGAACGGTGGGGGCAGCATCATGCTTTGGGGGATTCTCTACTTCAGCAAAGGAAGAGAAGGTAATGGGAAGTTGGAGGGAGCTGGATGTGACAGTACAGACAGAGAACCTGTAAGATGGTGAAAGACTCAGGACTGTGGTGAAGGTTCAATGACCTCACAAATAAAGTCAGAACCAGAGTGGAAGGGTTTAAATGAAGATATAGGGGTTACCATTTTACTCTATTTCATCAAATAAGGGTGAAAAAAACTCAAAGAACTTTTAATTCACAACAAAAAACAGCTTCATTCGTGTTTATTTTCCCTCCATCCAACTAAAAAAAAAACAAGTTCCACAAGTGCCTACTGGCACATACCAGTCTCACGCCTCCCTTTGAATAGAGGCAGGGTGGGGGGCTTGCACACTTAAACCTCCAAACAATGAAAGAATAGAGGGGTAGATTTCCATAACACTGTCCTCTGCTCCTGCCACGAAGGACCTGTGAGAAAAGTTTTTCTCATGTCAGTAAATTTAGAGCACATTTTCTACTTTAGAAAACTAAGGGACCAATGAAACCATTAAAAGGGTAAATGACTGCTTTTAAAAAGCATGGAGATGACTGGTTATGGCAAATTCATTTTCAAGGCTAATTGAGGAGATGGGAGAAAATAGGAGGATATAAAAGGGACTCTTGCAGTGGCTGTCAAACAAAAAGAAATTCGATCAGTGTGCCAGGGAGCAGACGAATGCGTGAGCATTTGTGGAATGTGTGAGAGTGAAAAGGAGTAATGCAGGCACAGGGTAGAAAGGGTGAGTGGGATTGAGCCAAGAGAGTGGATAAAGGAAGAGAAATGGATGCTCAAAGATGAGTGAAAAATTAGATCAGCTGCTTTAAATCATGTTAACATTGTTCAGAGCAGAGCTCAGTTGTCTCATGCACCAATATGCCCGAATAGCCTTTAAAAAACAGGTTTTTCAAAAAGCATAGGAAATTAATTTTGGACGTTGTGTTTAAATGGATTCAGCATTTTAAATGGAAAACAGTTTTAATTCAGCATAAGTATATATCCACGTTTCAGACAAAAGAGGTTTTGAATCTAGAAGATTAACTAACAACTAATTTTAGGAACCGATTAGTAACAAGCCCTTTGTCAAACATGAAACTTCACCTTGGTAGCGAGGCAAAGGAATCATTTTTAGTCCTAACAAGATGCATGTGTGTGTCTGTGTGTGCAGAAGAGGAGGAGGAGGTGGACAAGGGATCTCTTTTTTTTTTTTTTTTTACAGGATAAAGAGAGAGAGAGAAACAGAACTGGTCCAATCCAGTCAGCGGTTGCCCCCAGAAACAGATAGAGGGAAGCAAGGACCACAAGCTGCAGCTGCATGGTTTCCATAGGGACGTGGATGCTGGACCAGTTAAGGAGGAGAGAAAAAGGGATAAATAGAGGTGTTAAAAAAGATGGGTATGAGGGAAGAAAAAAAGGCTCCAGAGGAAAACTATGAGCATAAGAAACAGAAATGGTTAGTTAAATAATCATGGTGGAGCGGGAGAGGGGGAGGAGGAAGATGGAGTTTGGGAGACAGATGGTGGAGTGTGAAGCTCTGACATGGATCCCCAGGACTTGCCAATGGAGACTGCCACCTTCAGGGGCACCTGGGAAACACACAGTGGAGGAATAATGTCATTGCCTGTCATGCACAGTAGTCAGAGGTTCTTTGTTCACTTTCCACACTCATGCATCGCAGAACAACATCAAACATGACAATTACAAGTAACAAAAATATTCCTCCCATTAGGAGACGCAGGTTTTGCAAAAAATACAAAAAGCTTTTTTCAGATCTTTACAGAATGAACGTATTTTAAGCAGAGATTTAATGAAACACACAAACTCTTATAACTAATTAGGTGACTTATTTCACTTCACTACTCAACAATGCACCTCTTTGCCTGTGCAGATTCTCAATCATCCAGGTCATGGCAATCATAAAACAGGCTTAAATTGGAAGGCAACTGCACTTCAGATATGCTTTTTTCTGAACGTTTTGACAACTATCCGGGAGTCTTTTTCAGTTCTGTCGGCTCGCACCAGAACAAACTGTAGTTGGAGTGCAGCTTAAATGCATCAGCATTCCAACTGCAAGAAGGTATGACATCTTTTGCACTGAAATCATCAAGTTCGTTGAGCCTAAACAAATATAAAATTTTCCCTAAAAAAAAAAAAAAAAATTTAAACATGTATTTTGTTATCCACTCAACTCACTTTTAGATGAACTCCTAGATGGTGGATGTCATGAAGAGACTCCATGGTGCTTTTCACCAAAGCTGCACATAATAACAAATACGAGTGTGTCCAAGTTGTTTTTTTGTATGTGCTATCATAAAAAGCTCTTACGACGAGGTTTAAATACATTTGATCTTTTTTTTTTCTTTCTATTGTTCTTTTTTTGTTAAGATGAAACTTATTTACCTGCAAACTCCTCCACCTGAGAGTTTTCCACTTCATAAAGAAGCTCATCATGAAGCTGTGCTAAAAGCCTGCAGTAACAGAGACACGTAGAAATGCATAAGGCACAGTTCTCCTGAAAAACAGCGACTGACCAAGTAAAGTAGTGCCTTATTTATTTATTTTTTTAAGGAATCAGAGTTTGTTTGTTTTGCACATTGCTCTGCTAACACATGATCTGACTGATGAATTTGGCTCCTGCTTGGAGTGTGTTTACTCTAGCTGAATGTTTGGCAGCAGCACTCAGTCTCAACCAATGTATTTGGATGAGAAACCTGGGAGTGTTGTCTCTGTGTTCTGGTGTGCAAGACTCAGTCAGATGGTCTCCAGTGATACAACAAGAGAGCACCTGGAGATCCAATGCATACTGGATCACTGTTGGGTCTTTTTACACCAAGAGAGGATTCAGCACTGCAAAGGTGTTTTTATTGTTGGTACCTGGCAGAGAGCAAGCTGGAGGAGGAGACCTGGTTAAAGATTGAGATCATAGCCATTTTACAGAGATCAGCTGCTGAACCTGGAAATGGAAATCATGAACACATTACCACAGTGACAATGTCATTTAGGCCCAGTTTAATTTTCACAATTTCACAATTTTCACATGACCTTAGAGATGGAATGGATGGAGGGTGGATGGAATGGACGGATGGATGGTGGATGGATAGATGGATGGATGAATAGATGGAAAATTGATGGAATGGATGACTGGATTGTGGATAGATAGATGGTGGGTTGATGGACGAATGGGTGGGTGAATGGATAAATGGGTGGATATATAGATGGATGGTAGATAGATGGATGAATGGGTGGATGAAAAGATAAGATGGTGGATGGATGAATAGCTGTTTGGATAGATAAATAGATGGATGGTTGATTAATGAATAGGTGTTAGGATGAATGGATGAATAGATGGATGATAGATTAATAATTTGAATTTTGGATGGATGGGTGCATTGATGAATGGGTGGATGGATGAATAGATTAATGATGGATGAATGATATAGGGATGGATAGACGATTGGAGGAGTGGGTGGATGGATGGGTGTATGGATAAATTGATGATTGCTGGATGGATGGATAGTTTAATAAAAAGATGGATGGGTGGATGATTAAAGTAAAGGATGGGTGGATGGATAATTGGGTGGATGACATGTTTGGATAGATGGATGGATGACAATACTAATGGAGAGATGGAAAGCTGTTGGATGGATGGAAAAATTATGGATGGATAAATAAATAGAAGATGGATGAATGAATATGTGGATGACAGGGGAATTAACAGATTTTTGGATGGGCAGATGATAGAGTGACTGGTGGATAGATGAATGGATGGATTAATGCCTGGATGAATAGCTGTTTGGATGGATTAATGAATGGATGAATGATAGATGGATGACTACATGGATGAGAGATAAAGGAATAGATCATGGGATGGATGGATAATAGAGGAGTGGATGAATGGTGGATAGATGAATATATGGAAGTTGAATGATTGATTAATTATTAGATTTTTGGATGGATGGATGGATGGATGGATGGATGTTTAAATAGATGGATGGCAGATGAATGAATAGATGCCTAGATGGATAAATAAAATTCTAGACTTTTAAGCAACAAATATTTTTCAACTAAATTCTCGTGTAAACATTACTCGATTTAAAAATTATATTTTCACCAAATTCAAGATATTTCCAGATCGATTAGGACCCCTGCATCTCAGGGTCGAACTGAACAGCGTAGAACCGGTTCTGACAAGTGGTTAAGTTTCAGAGGTCGTACCCTGAACCACAAAGTTGACAGCCTGTCTTTCAGCCTGCATGCGGACCCCCCAGTCTGGGGAGTTGATGTTGGGGAGGTTACGTCTTCGGCCCATTAAAGACACCACATAGCCTAGAATAACAAAAAACAAGACAAAAAGCACCCAATGTATATGTTTTGTGACAGTTTCCATGATAAACCATATACATATTGCTTTATGAAACCATTTACACCCATTGATTTCTGTGCATTTGCAACATCACAGCCACACCATCCAGTGTATTTTATGTATGTTACAAGAGTAGTACAGCACTGGGAAAAAATTGTATTTCAAACATAAAAAAATAGTATGAAATGTACTAAATGCATAATCATTCAGCATGCTAACCTAAATCCCCTATGCTATGATTGTAGCTACAATCTTTTAAAGTATGTCTGTAGATGCAGAAGCTAAAAGTTGTTAATAATACCAGCTCTCTTACATCAGACGAAGAACTTTCTTTAAAATTCAGCACTTGCCACAGATTCTTTAATCTGAACTTTGATCAAGCCATTCCAACAGCTAAAAAAACTTAGATCTGAATAATGTTGTTGTAGCTTTGGCTGCATTTTAAGAGTATATCTGTGGGAAGATGAACCTCTACTTCAGTCTCAATCTTCTGTTGCCTCTAATTGCTCTTTGTTCCTATAATTTTTTTTTTTCAGCCCTGATTACTGCTAAACATATACCAACAAGAAATGCAAAATACTGTAGGAAACATGCATATGGAGAAGAGCTACAATACAGTAGATATCAAGTTCCATGTATGAAGGTCTCTCCAAGTCTGCACTTTATTTGGTAGAAGTTAAAACAACAACCAAACTGTTAGGTTGCCAAATCAGCAGCTGGAAGACAGAAACACTTTTAACGCATCTGTTAAACATAACCTGAAAATGTTTTTTTCTTTACTGTATACAATTTTTTCTTGAATCCCATAGCATAATGCTGCCACCATTATGTGTCTCAGTTAGTATGTGGTGTTAAGGTAGATGTGTAGTATTAGTTTAATGCTGCACATAGCGATTTGGATGTTGGCAAAAAGTTCTTATGAATAACACGTGGACAGAAGCACACATTATTATATGCAAGTATGCAAAAACAACACATGCCTGCACATATGGTTGACTAGTACATTCCACCAAACTGGACAATGGATCAGGCTTTACACCTAAATCCCTCCAGTAGCCCTTACTCGGAGCTAAGCCACCCAGGACATGAAACCTGAATGACCTACACACACAATTATGCACAATAACATCAACTATTGTATTAGAAATGGGGTGGAAAACAGATAGCAGCACACCCAAATCGGCTGCTCTTTGTGAGTTGACTTCTGAAACATGCGTGTGACCATTTACAAGGAATGTGATCATTTGTTTTGGGGCTCAGTAATGATGACGTCTAGTGAGTTGTAGTTACAGAATATCACAGACAGCGTTTCTGTCATAAGACAGGTATGACCTGAGTCCTATTGGAATGTTTTTCAAAACCCTACTGTTGTTTTGCATGGACAAAAAAAAAAAAAAAAAATGTGTTGTTTTTTTCCCCCAATGGTTGTTTTTACATTGATTTATGGTTTAAACAAGAGGATAGGTGCTGAAAACTAAAACAATCCACAGTTGGATCTGTTTTTTAATTCTATATTTTTCTTCGCTTCTAATAAAAACAATACTTTCACACTTCTCACTTTTCCCAAGAAGGAATTTTATGAAAGCTGAATGGAAACTTTGATTTCTGAAACACTTTGAGTTGGTTTTTTGAGATGAATTCCCACTCAAGTTTAGGAAATTAGATTTTTAATGATGGCCGTATTTTAACAAAAGAAACAATTTATTTTGCCAACTTCCTTAAGTTTTTGAAAGACTTTAACAAATATGTATGACATCCTTTAATGTCAATACAAAAACTAGTTTACTATATAGGTAAGACTTTAGGTAGTAAGGCTTAGGGGGCAAGTTAAGGCTGCACAATAGGGCCAAAACATATATCACGAAACATTTCTCGGTTTAAGTCAGTAAGATATTCAATTCAGTTAATTATATAGCACAAATTCACAATATATGTCAACTCAAGGCATTTTACAGAGACAATACTGTGAGATTGGTTAGGAAAACCAGTTGACTGCATTCAATCATTGACTAAAAAGACATGCTCCTCCTGAACAAGCCTGCAGCGAAAACTTAATGAGTTGATGCAATCAGCTGGTTCTCCTTACAAAACTTTGAATCAATTTGACTGCATGAACAGGTTGAATTGGCTCTGAGATGTGCCCTGAGATGACATGTGTTGTTATTCCTTCACATTCAATGCCATATGTCAGCACAAGGTCCAAAGTATGAAGATGAGAATGTGTAAGACTACTCGTATTTTGAACAAAGCCAATGGAGTCTAAGATAGCATGGAAGGATGCATTTAAGCTATCACCTTTAATGTCAGCATGGATGTTAAATTTCCTCTCTATGATGCCTTTGTCAGTACTTAATACCAGTTAGTAACGTTAGCTACGCCGTTACCTTTTTAAGGAACGAGTAATATAACTAATTACTTTGACTGTAGCTATAACAGAGTTACCATTGCCGACACCCTGTTACTGCACGTTACTCAGGTCACACAATTAACCTTTTTTTCTTGATAGGATTCATGCGCGCCTTGTCATGAGAGAGGGGGATGAGATTGGTTGATGTATAGTGAGCTTCCGTCTGTCAGTTGGGTAGGTGGGTGTTTCCGCTGGTGGGTGTTAACGTACAGCACACACAGAGAGATGGAAAGTGAGGAGGACTCCAGCAACAAAACAGCGTTTTCCAGATGGAAATACCAATGTTACATTGAGCTGAGTTTCCCTTCCCTGTGTGGAGATACGGTTTCCCCTGCATCTCCGCACACCGCAGGCGGCACTATTCACAGGGCATGCTACAGGAAATGTGCATGCTCGCTAAAGGCGCGTAAGAGCCACCCTGTGTTCGCGCCACAGGGGAACTATGGAGAGCATGAATGGATGGACGGATGGATGTTGCAGAATCTATAACAACCCAAACACACAGGATTTCAGAATTAGACATCCCCAGTTATTAATTTCATATACTCACCAGATCTGAAAGCCCTGTTAAAAAACTTCACACCCATGAGTAGAGGTAATGCAGCCTGATGATATTTACACCGCATCAGATACCGTTCCCCCCATGTTAAGAAGGGGGGAACGGTATTTACCCCTGATGTCATTTACGTTGATTTGCAATAAATGCATAACTCTCTGCAGGTCCTTGTCTTTGTCGTCCACTCTATTCAGCTGGCTTTTGAAACACACGGCGAGAAGGTGGGGGCTGGGTGGTGAGGGTTATTGAGGCGAGAAACGCAAAAGTAACGCAATAGTTACTGTTACTGGTAACTAGTTACTTTTATTGTGGAGTAACTCAGTTACTTTTGGGAGAAGTAACTATTAACTATAACTAATTACTTTTTCAAAGTAACGTGCCCAACACTGCTTAACACTAATTCAGATAGGGACTCTGAAAGCTGATCTAAAAAGTGAGAATACCAGATGGATGATACACAGTTAAAAAAAGTTTTATTTGCTTTACAATTGGAATGGGGAAAACTAAGGGTTAGATGGTCAAAAGAATTGTAATTATTAACCCACTTTTGACTAATCAGTAAGTTAGAATGAAAGATTGTTACTACTCCTCGATAAAAATTCTGGGTATTTGAAAATGTAGATAGCTGCAAGGAATTGCTTCATTGAAATAATCAAATAATTTCCAGCTCCAGTGCCAGCCATGTTTGTTTTACAGCATTATTGTTTAAGGAAGGAATCAAAATATTCTGATGATATCATGTCAAAACTATAACTGAGATGTTTTATTGCCAAAGCAGCAGATAGACATGTCACTGCAATGTCATTGCAATGTTTTAATCAAACCATATACAACTACTATATTATAATAAAGTGCAAATATTACTTAGTTCAGTATTTGTTAGCTATATTGGCATTGACACCAGTAAGTGATACTATACAAATATGTGGGTAAATATCAATTTTCAGCCAAAACACCAATATTAATATTGAATAATGGCCCAGCTTTTCAGATTTGTGTATCTCTAATATTTGTCTATTCATTGCGACGAATACATAAACAAAATGAATAAACAAAGATTAGAAATGTCCCCTTGTTTGTTTCAGTCTATTATAATAAATATAATCTTACTATTTATGTAAGTGTGTATAAATAAGGTAAATATTTGACCATTTAAACCCTTTAGATGTCTCCAGACACTATGTGTGTCGAACAACAAAGGTTTAAAAATGTAAGCCTTTGGACTTTAAAGAAAGAAAGATAAGAAAGATAAAATCTTTCGTTTGAAAATTATGTTTGACATTCTGAAAAGAGATGCTCTGGCATTTATCTAAACAGCTTTTAAGAAATTTGCATCATCTAAAGAGCAACAGCTGTCTTGCCCACAGAGTTGGCTGCAGAACATTTTAACATCAAGGAAAACAAATGAAACAGGATTCAAAACACAACACACACAAGAGAAAAAAAGAACAACTCAGCTGAATGAAAAAAAAATCAATAAACTATTTTGATTTTTTTCTTATGTGTCGAGCTAACTGCCTTGCTTGTTCCCTTCCCTCTCAACTTATTTAGCCACATTGAGAGACTTGCTCACATTCACAATGTCTTAAAATATATTTTGTACATATGACAGCAGCAGAGGCTGCAACCATCCCCTCATCCCTGCTTACACTGCCATCAACCACTCTTCAGGACAAATTACTGCTCATCAGGTACAAACTATAAACTTGAAACAAGGGCACATATTCTTCCCAGTCAGACTATTTGATGTCAAGCTTCAAGTCCCCTGCCAACCAAGGACTGTTAAACCTTCACTCCCAGGGTGGGATAATGCTGGGACAGCTTAAAAAAATCAGCAACCAGGGAGATAATAAGAAAGTGAAAAAAAGCAAGCGGCAGAATCAGGAGCAGCAAGTGGTGTAAATAAACCCAACGGATATTTCCTGACTGTAGAGACATCAACTGACCGCTAGTTCAGCTCATATCGTTCTACCCCTGAAAAGGAGGAGGTCTCTGATCTGTGCACAGCATTTTATTACATATCATCGATCAAGGAGCTGCCTGCAGAGAAAGGGGACGTGCAGAGCGAGGATTGGGGTGTGACGCTGCTTTGGGTGATGCGGCCTGGCTTTGTGTGCGACTAGAGAAGAGTGTTTGCAGAAATTGCAGGAGCTGCAAGAAGTATGAAGAAAAAATACTAGACACAAAATAAGATTGTTTTTTAATGAATGCCAGGATGGCAGCGTGCCATGCAGAAAAAACCTACCAAGACATCATAAGAATGAATAATTAATATCTGAACTTCATACTCTTTTATGTGGGCAATACAAGCCGCACAGAGCATCAACAACAAATAAGAGAGGTGGAACTGTTTGACTGCAGGCTTATCTTTTTAAGTCAGATTGTCTAGAATGAATTTACCGGCTCAAATGTGGAGCTTTGTGACATCGTTACTCTTCCTTTCCGCTCTGTGTTGTGCTCAGTGAGAGTTTAAAGTGCAGACTTTACACTATTTTGTGTGAGCATGTGCAAGTCTGAGGTGTGCTGTGCTGGCAGTTCAGTCTGAATATATAAATAAAGTGTCCCGTCGGAACCATCAAACCTCTCCGGTCCAACCCGTGCTTCGTGAACCACCCTTCAAGTATTGACCAGAGGCAGTTTGTCTCATTCCTGCCAATGCAAGCACATCCTCCTAACTCTTTAGCCAAACACTTACACAGACATGATGGTGTAAGAAATTCAGAGTGAGCACAAACATGGGAATAACTGGGTAAGCCCTGTGATTCAGCGGCTTAGATGACCATTGATTCAGCTGTAGAGGCAACATTTTAAAGCAGATGTTTTCCTATTGCTGTACAGCTCTGTTAGGCCAGTTAAAGCTAGCTACATTCCAGCTTTAAATTACCTATTCTTTATTAGTTTATTCCTTCTTTATGATGCTGTTTGAGATCATTATTCAGTTCAGTCTCTGCTATCTGTCAGATAGATGGCTTCCGTTTGAACATTAACAGCTTTGATATACAGAGAGGTTGTCATAGTTGAGCCAATGGCCAAATCATGAACCTTCCACCACCGTGCTAAACAGCTGGTATGAGGGCGCTACCACACAAAGCTCTATGGCCTATAATAAGGCTAGACTCTCTTCTTGCAACCTTTTAAAATGTGCTCTTTATGTCTCGTCTTTTTCATAATCTCCATATACTTCTATAAAACCTATTTTTTACATGAATACATTAAAGCAAAACTCAGTTACATGAATTGTGGATTTCAGATAGGCAAACTATTAGCACTGCTTTATATGGGTGGTAACACATGCCTTGTTTGTGGCTCTGCTGGATGGTTCTCTGGATGAAGGCCTGGACGTCCCCGTAGGTCCGGAGGAAACTGTCCTGGAAATGACGAGCCTGCTCAGAGCTCACCCCTAATATCCCTGACAAACGTTCACGACCTACAGCGAAAAACATGATCTGGGATTAACTGTAATATGGAGGAAACACTCCAAAATCCTCAAATTATATTTAAACCATAATAGAAATACACAAATGTAAAACTACTCCCACTTTTTATTTTTATTTTAATTATGTATTTCTTTGCAGACTGGTCTCTATTGTGTTTGTAAACCAACAGACTTGTGTTTTATAATAAGTTAAGAACTCTAAGTCCCTTTGGTAAAGTTTTTGCTTTACCTCTTCTAAAAAAAGTGGTTCTAGCTAAAGATTCTTTTTTTAATAGATCCTTAATTAACATTGTTGATCGTTAATAGTTAACTGAGATAAATGTGTCATGTGGGGAATATAATGAAAACATATACTGAATTATTTAGTATGACTCAACTTAAGTGGATACGAACGACTTCTAAAATGAAAGACAAATCCCCACACAACTGTTCCCAAAAAGATGCGAAGTCATTATTTGGTATTAAAGTAAATAAATGTGAACTTTCTGGAACTGTCTGGAAATAGAAAGAGAAAAAAGGCTGAAGATATCTGATCAGATTTGTGGATGCATTTTTGAAATCATTGTAATATTAACTGAATATGAAGTCACAGTGCTAATTAAAATGTGACAAGGTGCTTGTAGAGGTCCTTTATTTGGACCTGTTGTGTTCTGTGTGCTGGTGTGTGTATGCAGGGCCCCACATTCCTGCTGAATGAGGTCAGCTCTGGAGTGAACTTTAACCTTTATTACCGATACCCTCTGTGATGCTTTCTCTGGCACTGCAATAGTTTATAATTTCTCTCCTCCTTACTTTCTGCATGCTTTTAGGCCCTTATACTCTCAAATCCTATACTTTGATAACAAAAACACCTTACAGATTTGCTCTTGTAGGTAATTTCTACAAAGGAAGAGCAAATAAAATACCTAATTAAAATAATGTAAATAAACTGAGACCTATCGAATAAAGTAAAGCCTGAATATCTAGTTAACTTATGTCTAACCTCCAGGACACCACTGTGTTGCCCACCATCTTTGTTTTGCCCCGCGTTTCTGACCTATTTGTGTACATACGTCTGTGTACGAGGGCACAGCGCTGCTGCTGTTTCGCCCCTCCTCCCTGGCCTGATTGTCTTCATAGAGAGCGTTCCTTGGTATTTAGTAACCATAGCAACGCATCCCTCTATAAAGAGTGGTCTGTCTATGCTGATCAGGATCTCTTCGAATCCTCCCCCTCTCTGTGTCTCTTTACTCTTCCACATTCACCCAAAATATTTCTTTCAGAGACCTTTAACTCTAAATTTCCCTCTACATGTTTGGTTTTCATGAAAATAAAATAATCTCTCTTAAAAATATTGAAAATTTCAACCTAAATTTATAAAAGTGCTGCTCTGCATTTAATTATGTCATTAGTAGTTAACCTTAAATACACTTTTTCTTTTCAGTATTTCTTTTCAATTCATAAAAGGTCCAAATGCTACATTTTGCACTCTATATTTTATTTTAAAAACTTTTTAAATTTTATAAATACATTGCTATATGTTGAATATTGTGAACATATCATAATTGAACTTTTTTATTTTCACCTTTTCTTTGTTAATTTGTTTTCTAAGTGGTCACATCATGTAAGGATCAAATGTAACTCGGTAATATGCAGTTTTAATGTAAAAATTAATGTATAGAGATTTCTACCATTTTATTCCAGCCATCATATTAGTGAGAAGGAGTTGGAACAAATTGCATTTTTTTCAGAACTAAAGACAAATATAAACAGCTGGGTTTTTTATAGGTCAAAATGGCTTTTAAAGTAAACATTAACACTAGATATGGTGCATAGCAGCCAATACCCAGAAATTATTAAAACAGTTACCTAACACAGACGGTTAAACTAACTCTATTCTATTTAAATCTTAATACCTTACCTCTAAATGTCAATATTTTGTAATCTCTTAAAGTGGTCAGGATCAATAGTTCTTAAGGTTTTTTTGTTTTTTAAAGCCCTTTCAAAGATTTTTTTTCCCATCTTGGCTTTTCGGAAATGTCCCATGTTTTTATGGTGACAAAATCATGGTGACAAAATGTACAGCATGTGCTTCAAGTCAACAGCCAAACTTTATTTATAGAGCACTTATCATAAAAAAAATCAGAGACAATGGATAAGAGAAAGAGTCTTTGACAGTAGGTGAAAGAAAAATTATTTTTCAATTAAAGGTATAGTGGAGGATGCTCTTTTTCCAGGTGGATTATCTAAATAAGTGGTCCTCCTAATTGTCAATCATTCTGGTGATATGTTTACGTAAGGCCGTCCTATATGCTCGTCCCCATTTTCACTTATCCGTGGTGAGTCTGACATAGTGGAAAAACTGCAAATCTTCTTTTGGAAAGTATTGCACAAGTGATGCAAACAGCAACTTTTAAACAGAGTGTACACGAGTAGAAATGGGCTCATGCACGCTCTCACACACTTGTAATAGGCGTTCCCTCTCGGTAGCGGGTACAGGGTTGTGCATGTGCATTTTATTTATTTAAGAGGAGAAGGTGGATATTTTCAAAACTGAGCGAAAAAATCTTTAATCGTCAACCTCATACCAAATTCTCTGCTAACAGCTCTTTTAGAAGGCTAAAACACTTATAGGAACTAAAAAACATATTTCTGTCTACATTTAACTGTCATTCTAATCTTCTCATCAAGTAACTAATTTTCTTATCTATTTATAATAAAATGGGATCCCTGTTTACTCCTAATTTAGTGGGAGTCAGTGGCGGTAAATACTGACCTGCTCCATAAACCACTGAATAGACAACCCGCTTGGCATGTTCTCGATCTTCCGGGGTCACCTCATCCACACTCTTCCCTTTCCTGGGTGACAAAAAAAAATATTCACATTTAAAAAGATTAAATAAAATGTCAACCATTTTAAAAGAACTGAGTGATGTGGTAGTGAGATATTAACATTGCAAAGGCAGGTTGTTGTTTTTTCTTTCTGTCAGGATTTCAAAAATTGTTTGAATTCATTAAATGTCAAAGTAGTAAGATATTTGTTTTAAATCCAAAAAGTTAGATGTATTTCCTTGGCATGGGAAGGAAAAGCATTTTAATCTGCATGACGTGGGTCAAACATTTTGAATAATCTTTCAAAAACATCTTACAAGTTTTTGATATAGCTTTGGTAATTTCCTTCTTACAGGACTAGAGTAACTGAGGCAGTTTGTCAGCCATCCTACTTACACAAACCTTTTCAGCTCTACCTAAGCTTATTTTATAGGAGCAAGATTTGGACTGATGGCCACCCCTAAATATAGACTTTGTTATCTTTAAATTAATAATAATTGAATAACTGAACTTTATTGATGTCACATTGGAGAAATTTACCTCAGATTTTAGCCCATTTCCTTTGCAGAGCAGAGGGCTGCCATTGCGCGGCGCCTGGGTGTGGGGTAAAGGGTCTTGCTCAGGGACCGAGAGTGGAGGCTGTGGGGATCGAACCAGGTACTTGCAACCTTCTCAGAGCACATGCGCACTGCTCTAATCACTAGGCCAACATCCTCCCAACTATTACTTTGCAACTAATTTAGTAATATGCTTTTGATTCTGTTTCATTGGGATTTTTAATTCTGCCCAAAATGCAACTTCCAGGCTGATGTCTTGAGATGTTGCTTCCATATCACTGCAAATATTTAATGATGTGAGACTATCTTCAGACAACCCAACCCCCGTACTTTATAATTGGCATGCTTTCTCGTGTTTTTTGCCTTCAATGCATCACTCATTCTTATGACTAGAGAGTTTACTTTGATGTGTCTCTGATTTTAATCCTTTGAGCACTTTAACAGTGTCTTCCTCCTTGCTGAGTGGCTTTTCAGCCCATGGACATTTCTTTGGTGTTTATACTTGAGAATAACAGGCAAATGAAGCACATCTGGAAATTGAACCCAAGGGTAACCCAGTCGTGCTGATGGCCAGTTCAACTCATGACACTTTTGCTGATTTCTTTACATTTTTGTTAACATTCTCACCCAAGGAAGCAGTGCGTCTGAGATTCTGCCTTATTAATACATCCACAGGAGTGTGTCTAATAACTCCAGTGTTGTAACTAACCCGGTCCAAGATTACAAAGCCATGACATCATCATCTAGGCTTTACCAAATTCTTTAATGTAAGCCAAGTGTATTGAAAGTTATGAGCAGACATATCAGGCATTACCACAAAAGCAAAATCAAATGCAAAGCTGTGAAGTTAAAATGGAACATAATGGACTACTGGAAGTAAAAAGCAGGAGGGAGAGATGGACAGGGAGTGACGGTTATGGGATGTGACTCGTAGTACTGAGGCTCAGACAGGGTGGGATGACACGTCTGCAAAGTGGCATTTCTGGAGGGGCTTAAGAGAAGCTGCTGTCGCTGTTCAGTGCTGACAGACAGCCTCACACACACACAAGCAGACACAACATGACTGGTGTGTCTGAAGATCCTAAACAACCCACGGCTGGTAAAAACAGGAATAAAACAAAAAATATGGTATCTTTACATGTTTCTCTGTTATAAAGTGGTCAACATGCAGCCTAAATATCCTAAAGATGAGCATATACCCCTAGTGCACAGGATTAACAGGTAATATACACATTTCTTATTGGGCAATGATATCAATATTTCAATAGGGAATAAAGAACTAAAATCGGTTTAAACTGCCTTTTTTTCAGCAGATTATGGCTGAGGGAACCAACACTCTCCACACGTTTAAAAAGTCTGAAATACATAGTTTCATTGCACTTCCTAAAAAAATAAGACTAACCGATATTTTTATCAGAACCTTTGAAGCTGATCTAAGTTTTAGGTATTTTATTTACTTATCTATTACCTTTTTCAGGATAGAATAAAGATGAAAAAGCTAGCTCCTCTTTAAAATAGGAATGGCATGAGAAAATGCTTTTAAACAGGATGTAAGTAAAGGAAAGAGTTAACCCGCCCGTATTTATAGTCAGAGAAACAGAGTCTAAAACAACGTAAGCTAATGTAAACAAAGCTGAGGGAATTGGTTAAAGCACCAATAAAAGTATTTCAAGGATCAATGTTAGAGAAGGGAATCAAAAAAGGGCAACCAATAGATGTTGTCTACATGCAAGCTACTTGTTTGCAAGATTTGGCAAAAGTTTTTTCTGACCTACCAAACAAATGTCAATATCTCTGAGATAAATAAACCTATTGGGACATTAACAAAACTGCATTTAGTCAGATGAGAGTAAGGTTGAGCTTTTCTTCAATTTCTTATTTATTTTAGACATTTCCCGAGGAAGGTAAACCAAGGAATAAATGGCAAACTTTTTTAGAATGGTGGTAGATTTTTCTTTTCCAAATACACTTGGAAACAGAGAAAAGCTTGGTAACAAAAGGTTGTTTATTACAATTTTTTTGACAACTGAAGGATGAGGAAGCAAGAACCTTTAAAAAAAAGTGTTTTTTGTTGATCTTGTGCGGTGAAAGTAAAAACAAACAAAAGGAAGGGGAGGATCAGGTGAAACGGACTCTATTGAGAGAGGAGGTAATCCCAGTAATCCCAAGTCTAGCTCAAGTGACACCAGTTGAAAGTCTTAAAGGTGAAAAGAGATCAGTGCAGTGACGGTGTGAAGTCTGAAAAGAGCTGTTAATGTGTTAATCTGCTTAACTGGTTATTTTAACACACAACTTATATGCAGGATCAGAAATAATGAAACTAGTGAGCAAATACAAACCACACACGTAAGAGAAAAGGAGGAAAACACAGCAATCCTAGGTGATCACCAAGGCTACCATCACAGGACCCCCCTGGGGCATGGAAACTGAGTCCGTTGGTGTGGTTGATATTACTGTATGAAGTGAAGGAGATCGTGAGTCTGAGAGAAGAAGACTGAGAGAGAGGCCTAGCAGAGTGGTAACAGTTTCCTTGGCTGGGAAATAAAGGTGCACTAGAGTCATATAGACCTACCACTGAGAGGCCAGCATGGTGAAGGCGTCAGACTGCGGTTTGGTAAAAATGTGGAGAAGCTCAGGGTCGGAGGAGAAGTGAGCCAGCAAGCGGAGCTCCACTTGGCAAAAGTCTGTCAGAAACAAAAATATTTCAATGACTGCTTTAATATTTATTACCTTAAGGATGGGCAGTAGTGAGCAAAAACGTTAAGTCATCACTCATTTATTTGTTCTCCACGAAGAAGCCAAGCCTTTATATAACCCCTCAAATGAGTCGTGATCAAAATTCCAGCATTCTGAACATTTTTCGACTTATGTCTGAGGACAATCTAACACTGCACACATTGTTATGAACCTATTTACTGTTGATTTCAGCCCTCCATTTACAGGCTAATAAACAGAGCTTTATATATATTCATAACCATTTTCATTTACTAAAACTAACAAAATGACGAAAGTTAGAATTAAAAAACATTTACATTAACTGAATTGAAAACAAAAACAGACCTTGCAAAAAACTAAAACTAACTGAAACTTTAATAAGAGTTTACAAAACAAATTAAGACTAACTGAATTTCAAGAAAGAATGTGGTCAGTTTTCCTTTATGTCTTTATCACAATGCATTATTACGAGGTCTAACTTCCGGTTACTGTTTTCGCATTTTTTTTCATGGACCACATTACACCAGTAGGTGGCAGGTACGTCAGGTCATTTGTGTTGCTGCAGTGGTCTGTTCTTACCTAGGATTTTTCATAACTTTTTGGTCTTGCCGCCCATATGCAACTTTTATTACAATACAGACAAAAACGGAAAATAAAAACTAAATAATAAAATACTAAAAAATGAATTAAAACTGTAATAGAATTGAAAATCAGAGGTCAAAATTAAATAAAATTAGAAACCAATTTAAACTTCAAAACTCTTTAAACCTTTCTCATACATAAAAACTGTACCAAGAACCTGTGATTGTTGCTGCTGGTGAAAACTTACAGGGTAAAAGCACTTTGATTGCTCCGTAGGCTATATTAGCATGAATTTAGTCTAATTAGCATGTCTTAGCAGCTAAATCTGGAACTTCCACTGGAGTCCAAATCTCGACTTCCATTCATCTCCCTGCTGCAATAAAACGTATATATTTCTGTAAAGAGAGACTGCTATAAAAATTTATTTGTTGTGGGTACAATACTGATTTCAGGCAGCTGATTTACAGGATCAAACTCCAAGAGGCTTTCATTGAACATCTGCATTTAGCAAGAATGGAAGTTTTAGTTCAGCCTAAGCTAGTTAAGCAACAGCGCTAATGCTTAAGCCAAAATAACTGCTGTTATTGGAAAAATGGTCTTAGCCTATTCAACAAGAATAAGATTGGTGGTTTTCATTAAAGCAGACTTTATTATTCCTTCCAAGCATCAACAGATATTTTTTTTTCTTAAGTTCTGTCTGTTCTCATCAGACAGAATATTACACTGTTGAAGGTTAATTTCTTCATTATTTTGTGTTACTGCTTACTGTATAGGTCTGCTCATGTCCTGTGTTTTATGTGAAAGCTTACAGGTCTGCTTCAGTGAAACTTCATCCACCATTTTCTATTAACTTATTTGAGAGTAGTATCGATTCTGTGCAACTGTTAGACTCTGGGAGACTTAGATAACAGTCCTAAAAGGTCTAACTGAGAGATACATAGATGAGAAAACCTAAGGTCAGGGTCACTTTATCATCGCAGTGGTCGGGCTGGCTTGAAAGGTAGATGATCCTCTGCAATATATGCTTATATCAATGAGAGGATGATGACTGAAATAAATTCTGCTAATACTTAAAGAGGTTTAATTCTGTGTGCACATTATCTGAGAAACATCCCTCCTTCGATTCGGACTGGGTGTTCAAAATGATGATCGGACACTACTAACAACCTAACACTCCAACGAACAGCTGGGATGCATTTGCATGCAATTTCACCAAATAACTTCCCCCAACGTTGACTTGTCCTTACAGTTAACATGGTCATAATGTTCTACCCTAAAGCTGTAGTTAATTAATTAATTTGAATCAAAAATCTTCAACTTGCAAATTTTCTATTTATAATCACTGATTAAAGTCTACTCTAATGAAAGATGCATTTATTTATACTACAGCTTTATCATTAAATGAAGACATTTGTTACATAGGTTCACTTGGAGAATGATTAATTAGTTCTGCAAATTACAAATATGGAGGAAAACAGTGCAATTTTAAAAACATGCAAAACTAAAAGGATGCTAACTGAACAGAAACAAGGGAAAGCAGAAATATATTTGTATCTTATATAATAGAATAAAGTTAAACATACATGTTTTCTTACTACCTGGATAAAGATATCTCATCCATGAGGAATTGTTTAATCATTAAATCAATATCCAGTTAACGTGCAGAAAATTGGGAGATAATAACTTGGGATGAAGCATCTTATTTTAGACGGAGGACACTGATGATAAGTAGATACATTGAGGGGATAAGATGAGCAAGAAGAACATTTATGAATACCAGACTGCTTGAAAATGGGACTAATACAGAAATTGTGCTAAATATTTTGTAAGAAGGAGAAAAGATGAGATGCGAAGAAAGATGATAGTGAGGTGAAACATAAGAAAAAAGATACAACTGGCTTTGCCTGTGCTGACATAAACGAGCAAGTATCTAAAGATATCATCTTATTAATATTTGATGAGCTCCAGAGCACTTCCCCCCAGCGAGCCTAGCAGTTCAGAAACATACTGCTGACTTGGATGTGCGGATGTCCAAAAATGGGGATAAAGAAAAAGTGAAAAGCGATTCATGTGCAGTAAGATACAGGGTGAAGGATACATGATTCACATGTGAATATGTGATCTTTAGATAGCCTGATTATAACTGAGACTGTCAGTGTATGGATCCAGATCAAAATAACTGACTTCTTGTAAATGCCTATAATGAGTGACTATTATAATTAAAAATTCAACATATTTCATATATAACTAAATACTTTCTTGTGGTTTCATTTTATTTGTTTTTGAAAACAGATTTTAAAACACACAAAAATCATAGGAAGATATTTAAGAAGTAGTTAAAACTTAAGGCTCCTTCTTTAACTGTACATATACTTTAAAGTTTAGCATTTAAAGCACAATTTACTGCAAAGTCAAAGTTATTTTTTTAAGTTTGTCTTGACTTAAACTGTGATGCATGTGCTGCTCTAAACATCTAATCTTATAACATTTGACTATCAACCATTACTCATATCTTAACGCCATTATTCACATCCTCTTGAACAGCCGTTGGTGATGCACTGCAGCATAGCAAAGTTCAAAGCTTAAAGATAAAAGCTTAAGAGCTCAACATGCTTATTGACTGTATAAAATGTCTCTTGTGGGATGTGACTGACGTACAAAGGCTTTTAGTAGGAACTAATTTATCAGCATAGAGCAAAGAAACCCTTACATATGGATGCAAGAGTTCTTCGAAAGGTAACGTCTATAAATCAGACAGTTTAAAAGGTAAATACAGAAAAGCAACATGTTTTAGTCTAAGAAAAAAAGAAGGAATGAAAAGGTCATAAGGGGGAAATTGAATACAAGTTATGAGCTATTCAAACACAGCTTCTGTATTCTGCTTGAATTTCTAAAATACGACACCTGGATCTTATTTGTTATTAATCCTAGGCTGTATGGACCACAGTTTAAAACTGTAGGACTTTTTGAATTCCTAAATGACAACACTGAACACATCCAAGTTGTTAAATTATTTTATAAACCATCAAACCATTTATTCTTTCAACCATCTGTAACCATGTTCTTAAACCCCAAACAGCAGGAATATTCGTTACTAAATTCAGAAATGCTTGAAGACCTCTGTACTTTCTCAGTCGCAAAACCAAGGAAAGTTGGACTCCCTCGAATGAATAAATGCTGACAGGATATTTCTTTAAAACATTTTCAGAATAAAAATATAAAGAATAAACAAAAGGTAGAAAAGTTCGATGGAGAAGACTGTACATAAAAACTATATGCAATGAAATGTGTTGAGCCAAAAACCTTGATATTAATTTTGGACACTGGAGACCAATGTCCAAAATTAGTGTTTGATCATTGATTGAGGAAGATGCAGTTTGCTGTGCATCAGCAATCTCCAAAATGCTGTAAATCCTAGATATACTTCTACAGGGGCGTGTGACCCTGCTCCCCACTGTGCTTGGGGGAACAACTCACAGACACTTCTGTTCTCTGTGAATCCCTCCCGGAGGGAGTCTCAGATTGAGGAGACACCATAATGAAAGGCCACAAGCCAAGGACCAGAATCTGCAGATCGATCAAATGCTAAGTGGACCTGGTGGCTAATTTATGAGGAGATTACTGCAAAAACAAACCTTTCTACAACCTTTCAACATTGCTCTCTGAGTTTACAGGAAACTTTGAGACACTAGAGAAAAGAAACACAGCTTTTCTGCAGCAGGTCTGACATGCTAAGATGCTAAATAATGGAGGCAACTCAGTCTTTTCCAAAACAGAGATCAGCAGAGGTTACAGGTCTGATTTAATAAGGCAAAACATCCCTGCTTATATTTAATAAACATGGAACAGCACTAGTGAGACAGATTTGGAGGGACAAAAGAACAAAACAATAAAGAGCACTTACTACACCCTGGCTCCCTTCCATGTTGCTCTCCATTGTTTACTTTCCTTATATATGATGCACTGGTGAAATCATCAACGCTAAACCAGCGTGATGGCATCACCAGAAATACAGCAGCGGGGGGGACAGAGGTCACACAGCTAACCAGTGGGGTGTCAGATACTTTTTTTGTTTTAACCACTGGTAAGGGAGTCAAATGCAGATTGTTAGCAGGTCAACCATTTTTGAAAAACGTGTTAAATCAACTTATGTTAATTTAAGTGGGAAGGAGGCTTTACGGAATCACTACCTACAAACCTCCACAATTAACCATGGATGTACCTTCAAATTTGATCAAAAAGAGTACAAAGTAAGCTTTACAGAATTGGTTTCCAAGATGGAGTAGCTGGATCCCAACTGCACATTAATGCAAAGAATTGGATGCATTTGAGGTAAAAATGTATAGTTTTTATTCAAAAAAAATCCCTTTACCCTTTTAAAGAAAAATAAAATAACATAATTTGCTTGCAACAGGTGAGAAATGCTTAAAAACGAGTTACTTTTCAGATAATGTCCTACATTTTGAGATGACGTCATACACACTCAGCTTTGTTTTAAAATATATAAATATAAAAAATATAACCGTGGATGTCTGGGAGACAGTGATTCGCCTACATGTTATGAATGCCGGCGTACCATAAATGATAAATTATGAACAGTTTGTGCCTTTAAGTCGTTGCCCATAGGAAGACGTTACTTGGATATAACCTAACGGAATAACTTCGGAACAGCTCCAATCGACAAAAAAACTCATATGGGTGAGTAGAACATGATGTAATAACGTAAAATCAAGGGCCCAATGTAAAAAAAAAAAAAAAAAACTGCACAGAAAAAAGCAGTGTCTTAAAAAATAATTACACAAGACTAAAGAGTGGCATTATTTCCAGAGGTGGTAGTTATGTTTATGATGAATATCTTTTTTCTTTAATTGGATGCCTGTATCATAACCGCCAGGATGTTATTGGTTAACTTTCTCTCTGTATAAAGCTGCTCAGGCTCATTGCATGTGTTCCTTCTCAGCTCCACTAGGGAACTAAACCAAACCTGTCCAGAGCTCTAGAGGGAATCCACAAAGGATACACAATGCCTTTGTTCTCATTTTGGCTACGCTTCTGTTTTTTGTTCTCTCAGACTCTCCCACATGCCACAAGGGTACAGAAAATATCTGTTTAGAGAATTAAAAAGTACACCAAAAAAAAAAAACACAGGATGCTTTTTAAATGTGTAACAATTAGCAAGATGACATCATTTTGCAGAATGGGCTTTTCTTAATGTGTCTGACCATCTGTGTTGTGAAGGAAATCAAATTTGAAATGTAGTTCGGACAGAACAGCTTATTTCCTGCTGATTTATCTTCTCTAAATCCCTGCCACTATGTTTCTTTGAATGTGTGGACATGAATCTGGCTTCTGAAATGAGATTAAACTTCTGTCCCAACTTGACATGTGCTGAAGTGGTATCGTCACTCCTATCCTGCATTTCCTCCAGCTAACCCTGTTTTATCTGTCTGGTTACATAAGTGTGCCACTCTGTCAGGTCCAGCAGACACCCAGCAGCAGACAAACCTTTCCAGGCAGACAGTGTCCCAACATGCTCTCTTTAGTGCTACACAGCAGAGAAACAAAGACTGAAATTATCCTTTTTCAAGCAGAGGCCGTGTCCGGACAGGAGGGCTTTTGGGGTGACTCTAAATCTGGACAAGGCCAACAGTCCTTTGAAAACTGTTCGCACCTTTAAAAACATTTGCAGATGTTTCTCATTTCCTCTACATAGCTTTTAAAAAATGTGATTGCTTCTACTGTCTTTCAGCTTTCTTGCTCCTTCAGTTATTCCACAATTGCACATTGAGCCAATAGTTTTCCTGTGGATAGATTCTCTCTACAGAGCTCTGGATTCCTGCAGCTCCTCCCATGAAGTTTAACTTCTTTTCCGAATCACACCAAAAGAGCTGCCCGCAAAGATTTCTGTGAATACTCCAGGAAAGGGTTCACACTGCTAAACGCGGACCGCGTCATTAAAGAGGAGGAGCTTGAGATTGTATTACATTAACAGGGAATATATCAGACACCCAGAGTCATGGAACTCGTTTTATTCTGCAAAACTGAACGACGACGTCGGCATCAATGTATTTGGGTCCATCTGTTCCTCAGGAATCTGAACCAGCTTGGAGATTACCACCAACAAGACTAGGAGTTGCGTCTGGATGGTGGTTGTTTCTGCGCAATTTGTCTTGTATCTAGCGGGGCAGGGAGCACCAATGCTATTAAGAGGCAGCAGCTGGCCAGGGTCTGTGCTAGGGTTAGGAATGTCACAATACACTGTTTTGTTTCCTGTACGATACCGATATTGTAGGTTTGAGAATTGGCCGATACCGATATTAAACCTAATGCGATAGTAGCACCAAATTGTAATACTTATTTTATATAGTAAAATGTTAGAAAAAGTCTAATCAAGTATCATCACTAAACCAGGGAACAAAAGTAAAAAATAAAGAATGAAAATAATTGACCCTTCTAAAATGAACCAATGAGTTACAGAAACTTTTAATAAAAGCAACGTGTTTATATCAGCATAAAAATACTGGATATTTTAGATGACAGCTGTTAAAATCCGATATTAGCTTTTTGGCTTATATTGGACCAATATCTAATATTAATATCGGAAAGGGATACCCCTCGTTAGGATGAGGAATGACGAATTTCAACAGACGTCCTGCAGAGGATCGAAGGAGTATAGACTTTTTCTTAAGGTTGCTTAAGGTTTCCCTTGATTTCTAATAATGTAAATCTCACTTTTCAGATTTCAATTTTTAAAATTTAAAATACCAGAAAACCATGTATGCTTCTTCTTTAACTTAACTATGCACTACTTAGAATGTAATGTAGGAAGGTGAAAATTAACAAAGGTTATGAGGATGTTTGCCAGGCACTGGACATGTTTAATAGCCAATTTATAGATGACTATTGAATGTAAAGACTGGAAAATATATGTATTTTTTTTATTTAGATCCAAGTTTTGAAAGCTTCACATACCTTACATCTGTCCAGATTTCAGCTGACTAGCTATCATGCCCAGCCTTTTTTTAATTACTTGGCTAAAAATAGTGCATAAAGATATCCTTGACTTGAATTCAAATTATAGAGAAGATTTTAGCAAACAGTGACCCTTTATACAGAATAAAAAAAGCTAAGGGAAACAGGCAGAGCCATTAGGATTTGTGTGTTTCAATCCCTGTTATGAGTCATTACTTTTGGAAATGGCCGTGGAATTGGACTGACGCACAAGAAGACAGGAACATTGCTAAGGTCATGACGTGTTTCACTGAGCCCACTGGATCTCTAGAGAGCTAAGTGGTGTTACACGGAGCCTAAAGTACAACCTGTTTTATTGCCCAGCTCAGTTGACAGTCTTAAAATAAACAACCGATTTATCCTTTTCCCCCCCCCAAATACAATGCGCAGGGGCTTGAAGTTTTATTTTTGAAGAGAATGTGATCCCTTAGCCTTTACTAACAGTTCTTACTTCAATAAATCCCCTGTAAACTTCTTCTACAGGAAACACCTTTTACACCCACCCATTCTAAGTGGCTGGAGTATCCAATAAATTACAGATCTTCATATTAGAAATACCCTTTTACTGTTACTGCTCTAGTGAAGGACTTCTCCAATTGTGGGAACGTAAGCCACCCCTCCAAAGAACCCAACTTTGACACCTCTCCCAAATATTGCTATAATTTGTGTCACAATCTTCTTTATAAATGTATTTAACTAACCCATTCATACTCGGAACCTTTTCTTGACACATTTTCTGCTTTTTTCAACAGATTTAATAGATTTTCAGCCTACAACGCCTCAACTCTCCACCTTCTTCTAGGAATAGGCACCTATAAATGAAGACATTTTCTACATAATCCCATACAGTATGAACTCAGGGCTCCTGGTCTAACTGCTTTGCTGAACAATGACTACCCCCCATTCTTTTTAGCGCAAATGTGAATACTTTCATGATGCTCCAGTGAAAACTGCATGAAAGAAAAATTCTTTACTTACCAGAACCAACTGGGAGCATTTAATGTTTTCAACATATTTTAGGTATTTTCAAAGTGCTTAATTACTATATTTTTTTAATGAGTTCTTGAATGTCTAACTTAGTGTCTTCAGAAGGTATAACAGTGAATAGGAACCCTCTTCGTCAGTCACTCCTAAATAGAAATAAGATCTCACAACCCAGCAGAGCTACAGATAAACAAATCCCGCATTTCATCAACATTGGCTTTAAACTGACACTCACTTTCATGTATACCGTAAATGCACCCATACAGAAATATAATTGTTCATTTACACAAAACCTTCACTGTTGTTCTGTAGGTAGAAACATGGGGAATGTGAGGAATCAGTGGAGCAGAGAATCAATTCTGGAGACACTCTTTGAACTGAATTTTAATAGTTTAAAAACATAATTTCTTGAAAATATGTGCCAATAAAAAAACAGAAAAACGTTTACAACTAAAAGTAAAGCTAGAGAAAGCTTCCTGGATGGGAAGCAAAACATCTTCAAACTTGGAAAACACAGACCAGTGGTTTGTTTTTTAACTTTTGGAATAAAAATAAAGGTAGCTCTGTCATTCATATTTTAACCCATTTTTTTCATCGGTTTGAGGTTTGATCTGCTATACAGATTACTGCAACATATCTGCAGGTATATGCAATTCTACCTCAGTCCTTTTTTCCCCTTCATGTTTTATCATTAACAGAAAAGCTGCATTTATACAGGTATTTACGAATGACAAGAGGATGATTAGACCTACCTTTAGTGCTTTTTAAAGAGGTGGAGGAACTCTATCCACAAACAGCAGATAGCTAAATTGAAACGCACCTTGTTGATAGAAAATGGAGTTTGTGTACATGTCTGGCTTGACAGCAACATAAAATCCTACCTGCAGAAAGAAACGTCCAGCCGTCCTGAGGAATAAACAAGTCCCGAGGATGGACAGCCACAACCTCCTCTTGCTTTCCTGTGAAAATAATATCATCATAACTCATGGCAGAGTGAATGCTATCTAAATGTAATAAAGTCTTACAACAACCTATCATAATTTATTGCACAGCTAGCAAAAAAAAAACACCTGCTATTGAGAGTTTAATGGCCAAAGAGATTCAGAAGTAATTTAACCATCACATACCTACAGTTTGCATCATGACAGAGCAAAGTATATATTGCAAACTGAAAGCCCTGTTCAATGATAAAGGCTGTGGTTACCAAACCTTTCTTAGTCGTCCCCACTTATGATTCAAAGAAAGTTTTTGCACCCCCTCTGACCAATCTTTTTGACAGTTAAACAAGGACACAAAAACTGCAGAAAACTATAATGCAATAAAATAAACTACAATCCTCTTTAAATCACAAGCCTACCTATTTTAAAGTTCAATTATTTGGAGCTTTGCTGTTTATTTTACTGTACATTATTAAAAACAACAACAACAAAAAAAGAATTACTCTGAGCCCCCCTAAGGGGTAAGCCCCCACTTTGAGAAGCACTTGGTTAGGGGAATGTGTGCCCCAGTCTTCAAAACACAACAGGAAGGACGGGATAAAAAAAGGGAAAGACAAAATAAAATTAAAATTTATTTGATTGAATAATGGAAATGTTTGTAAAGCTGCTACGTCCCATTTAGGGGACAAAATTGTGCAGTGATCAAATGCTGACTCTAGTACAGCAGAAGTGATTAGAAACCATCCCCACAGCATCAGCATGATGATAAACCCACTAAAGCAGCATGCACCACTACAGACAAGCTGACACCAAAATCATTACCACATTCACACATGCTCACATCTGTAGACATGTACGTAACTGGGGCTTTACAAACTGCTGGAATTACCGTCTAAAGCTCTGCCACTAAGACCCAGTGAGACGGCTGTTAAAGAAAGAAGGGCTGATAGCAGCGATGGAGGAGGATTTGATGACACTGAGCCCTGTGAGTGAGAGTCAGCAGGGAGCAGAGGTGATGATGTAAGTCTTAGAGCGACAACACGACCAGAGCAGCAAAGTCAGTGTCCTCCATCTGCAGGTCATGGCAGCAGATGGATGGACATATTCTGTTGCTTCGTTCACTGGCCAATTTTTGTTCTTCTCTTTTTATTTTTCTCTAATTGTTTGGTGGCGGGACAGCCTTAAATTGACATCAGGTTTTAGATAAACAATATAAAATTGATCTTAATATCAAGCAGCTCATCTGTCAAGCAGATTTTGTTTTAATACTTACTGATTAGACCATCATAGTGTACATCATCAAAAGAATATTTTGCTCAAATATTACAAGTCTTTGAAGTACACTCCACACTTACTTACAGTCATGTCTAAGATACTTTATGTAAGAAATAACAAACGCGTCATCTTTTCCCACACATAGACTCTACTTGAGCAGCCTGTCCAGGTAAACAGTAACCTGCCCAGAAAGATTTGGACTCCACTGTTTTCCCTAAAGTCTAGGCTTACTTATACAACACACAAGCAGCATCTTCTCTCCAGCACCAGCCACCTTGTTACACGGGGTGGCATAATGCAGGAAACAGCATCAGCAGCAATTTAGTTTACTTTATGTACCTACAAGTAGGTGTTTAAGGCACAAATAAAGCTTTTAGTCTATAGGGTACCAATAAAAGAGTAAGTTGCTGAGGCCCTATAATTTCAGAAAAATGGACAGTATTGCAAATTCTACAATAAAGAGTTAAACCCTGCCATACTCCGACAAATAATCAGAATCCTGTTAGTATGTTTTGGTGCAATACAGGCTTCTCTCTTTCAGTCTCTGTTAACATTTCTTTATGAAGGAGGGGGGACTGTCATCTTTTGAATATTTGACCTTTATTTCATCATAATAATTCATTCAACCTTTTAACTACATTATATATATGTTGACAGTGAGAGTTTCTGTAATTAGTTTATCCTTTACCTGCTCCTGTTTAACTACTGTTTATGCTCAAAAAACATTCTAAATGACTTCGTTTCGAGTAAATTCTGGATGCTACCCACTCAGGACACTTGGAATACATTGGACGAGCAGTATGGAGGAATATTGACACGTTTTTTGTGGACTTTTATGGACCTTTCTGTCTCGGTCACCATAGACCTCCATTATTTGAATGTCAGCAGACAGCAAGAAGCCTCCCAGATCTCCAGATGCATTTGAGATATCAAAAAAGTACTCCAGAGTGTTGTTCAGCATGGGGGTGAGTAGAAAATGAAGGCTAATCATGTTTTGGGTGTACTATTCCTTTAAGCTCAGAGAAACACTGTATGTAATGTTTCTTCAACTTGGCATAATCTCACTCTTGAAACCTTTGCTGAGTTGTTTTAAACTTCACTGTATATTGACTAGGGATGTGAATTGGCAAGAACTAGGCGATATGATACGTATCATGATACAATTTATCCCGATACATCTAAAAAAAACACACAAAAAAACCCCACAAACAATATGTTGCCATTTTATCATAGCATGGATTTGTAAAACCTTGAGATCTTGTTGTAGTTCTAATGCAGTTGGAACAAAGCACCTGAATAATAGGCTCTAGGTTGGGGTGCTGCCAACTATCGGCTACGGGTTTAAGAGGTATATAAAAGTAAAACAATGTAATCCATCTTTGTATTCTTTACATTTAAGTTGTTATTTGAATCAGTAGTGATATCGTCAAGTAAAATATTGAGAAATTTGACAGAAACAATTTTTTCTTACACCTCCAATATCAAAACACCTCTGCCTAGCCAAAAGGCCATATTCTCTTGTATTTCTAATTTGAACGAGTGGCTGAAAGAGGTGAACGACCGTATCATGCAATATTTATACCTCAGGAAGGAAGTCATGAATTATTAATTACTCTTCTTAGACAGTCTGATCAGATTAGGACAAAAGGCATAAATTATATAAATGATTCTGTTATATTAAGGTAAGGAGTAGCAACTCTTGGAGAATGAATTTACCAACTTCCCCTACTGTATTGCCAGAGATAGACAATGTATTTTTGGTTAAAATGGATAGATTTGTTTGCGTTTCTGTTTGTGTATACCACAAAGGTAGGTGTTTTCTCTGACAACAGTATGATTTCAAAGTTTGTTAGAGGGGAAGGAATTAAAAGCATCCCAGTCAATGTTGATGTGTATAAAGGAAGAAAATTGAACATGGCTGCTTGGTAAGATGTGAAACATTCCCAGTAAGACTGCAATCAGTAGGAAAACAATGCCTACATGCGCTGCATAATGTATGACAACCAGGTTAAAAACCACAGTGGGTGTTTTATTATTTAAAGTCAGCTAAAGCAATAGATGGACCGAGTCATCTATCATATAAACATTTGAGTCCCTGTCACAATAAAAGTTTACTTTGTCATGGTGTCTTTTGTGAAACTCATCATGCTGATGAGTTTCAAAGAAAATACTGAACTAGGGCTGAAACAATCGTAAATAATCGATTACTGAAATAATTAACTAATTTAGTAATCGAATAATCGTTAACTGGAGTATAGAGACTATAAATCATACCTTTAGCTGACAAAGCAACCCATTTAGAGCAGTAATTTTGTCAGAATTGTAAAAAATATATATTTTGCATTTAAGATTAGAAAAAGAATGTTGATATGCTCTATCCAAAACTTCTCAAGTTTTAGTTTCACCTGGGTTCATTTCGTGAAAAAGTCTTCTTTAAGTTATCTTTGGCTATCTGATTATTAATCGATTAATCTAGGGCTGCAACAACGAATCGATAAAAATCGACTTTTAAAAGCGTTGGCAATGAATTTAATCATCGATTAGTTGTGTCGCACGATTAATGCGTCATCCGCCGCCGTCGTCATCACTGCCACCTGACTGAAACGGGGGAAGAAAAAAAAATACGGCAGAGCGAGCCAGCGCCGCAGGAAGGGCTGCAACAACGAATCGATAAAATTTATAAAAATCGACTTTTAAAAGCGTTGGCAACGAATTTCATCTTCGATTAGTTGTGTCGCGCAATTAATGCGTCATCCGCCGCCGTCTTCATCACTGCCACCTAACTGAAACGGGGGACGAAAAAAAATTATGGCAGAGCGAGCCAGCGCCGCAGGTGCACAGTGTTGCCAACTCAGCGACTTTGTCGCTATATTTAGCAACTTTTCAGACCCCTCCAGCGACTATTTTTCAAAAAAGTGACTAGCGACAAATCTGCCGACTTTTCACTGGCGGCTTTTGGAGACTCTTACGTGAAAGCATGTATCGTTCCTAATCTTGTCCTCCAGCGGCAGCTGCTGCCGTGAGGCGCCTCCCCCATCCCAACCCCATCCTCCCACAGGAGTCCCTCTCAGCGCTGCTGTCATAGCCACAGGATGTTTACCCTCAGCGTCCAGACTGCAAATGAAGCGCGCATGCGCCGGGATTGACGCCGCAAATTGATCACAATAATTAAAATAGCCTTTTTAAATAAATTTACTTGCAAATTATGAGGGTAAGGCTTTTAAAGTTTAAATCTTCCGGCAAAGATAAAGTAAAGAAGATGCTGCAATTTATGGAAGTAAAGCAGAATAAAATCCAGCGAGATCAGTAATATGTCAATTAATTATATGCCACATTCCCATGTAAATATCTGTCTTTGGAGGATGTGTTTTTTAGCACCCCTAGTTCTCTCATTTTTATTCCAAATACAATTTATAATTTGAATCACAGGGCTATTTTTATCTCTATGGTTCAGTATTTTCTCAAGTTCCACCTTTAACTGCTATACTTTCCTGTCTTAAAAGGCAGAACTCTTCTAGTCTAAAAAAAACCCTCATTTGTTGAAATGGGGGGACCTATTGTTTGAACCCCTTAGGGGCTTTTAAAAACAAAAATGCCTTTTTTTGCGCTTTATGAAACAAAGTAGCCTATATTTTGTAGATGTACAGCTACATTTCTCATGTAAGTTTGCATAATTTTAACACAAACATTTATTTTTCATATTGCACCAGGACAGTTAATGAGCAACCTGTACTTGTGTGCTTGTTTGTTCTGTCTAAAATGTTTATTTTGGAATAAAGAGGTTAATATAAAAAATATTTTTTGTCCGATTCATCAATTAATTGAAAAAATAATCGGCCGATTCATCGATTTTTTAAATAATCGTTAGTTGCAACCCTAGATTAATCCCAAAATTAATAGACAGATTAATCGATTTGCAAAACAATCGTTAGTTGCAGCCCTATACTGAATCACAAAGTGGCTTCTAGAGCTAAGGTGACAAGTGGCATTTTATAAAGCTTGATCCATCTAAACTATGTAACTCTTTGATGACAAAGAGAGGCTTTGAAGAAGTAGATAACAGCTGTATTTCCTATTGCCCTATTTATTGTGGTGTATGCATGGAGTACAAATGAATTTGTGTTTATGTTAAGCATAAGCCAAGCTTAAGAAAGGAGAGCTCATTTGTCTCCAGGGAAGTGAAGCAACATTTCACTTTTAAAGAATAGCGGGTTTCTATTATTTTCAAAGAAAACTCACGGCTGGGCAAAAAAAATGCACTCTCTTAATCGTGTGCAAAGCATCTGAAATGTTGTCTTTAGACAAGATCAAATAAATCTTAGCTGTAATGTTTTCTGAGGCAAGTTACCAACCCCAGTTTAGACATAACTTTCACATAAAAAATGTCTTTATCAATCAATTGTTGCTGCTCAGGACATTCAGAATTTATACATTTGCAAATCTACAAAAAATATATTATGATTAGTAACTGTAACTCTCAATAATTTTATCAAATTAATCAGTAGAAACAGTCAGAAAAGTATGCAGAGTAATAATAAATACCGTAGGAGAAGATTATATAGCTAATCAGTTCAGTGGTAGAACAAAAAAAAATCATTAACATTATTTAATCTTTTTTTACATTATTATAAAACATATTTCATTATAATTAACTGAGAATATTACATAAATTCTCTTTTTACAAAGTTTCCTTGCCACATTAAACATTTATGTATTTTTTGTTCGAGTGGACATTTATTTCACAATGATTTATTTCTTTATTTAAGACAACCTTGATGATGGCTGCAAAAGAGTTTGGTTTTTCTGCAGCCTGTACACTCATCTAAATATAAGAGGGATTTTATATTCTAAGGCCAGTAACCCCGAGCCAGCCATTAATGACAACTTTGATCAGTTCAAACTTGCACATCCTACCTGCATATAGATGAGTATATGCAGTTTCAAGTGTTTCCAGGCAATTTGTGACCTTAAGTTCAAAGTACTTTTGCAGGACCAGGCAGTAAAAATGCAAGTACAGCCATGAGACGTAATACTCATAACGGTTCAGTTGAGTTCTGGGAAATTACAAACTAAATCAGCATCCTTTCAGGTACTTCAGTAAATAAAGCAAGGCTATTTTATCTATATAGTACAATTCAGTACGAAGACAATTGAAGTGCTTTACACTAGTTAAACAATAAAATAGAAGGAAAATCAAAGCAAATACAGATAAAAACATGATAAAAGCAGGTAGTAAAACAAATAAAACAGTTGGATAACAACCCGTAAACTAATAACAGTTTAACTTCAACAGTCAAAGGCGGCTCTAAACAAATGGGTTTTTAACTTTGACTCTAAAGAACTCAGGCTTTCAGCACTTTTCCCATCTTCTGGGAGTTTGTTCCAGATTAATGGAGCACAGGAACTAAATGCTACTTCTCCATGTTTTGTTCTAGTGCTGGGGGTACAGAGTAGGCTTGAACTAATAGTCCTGAATGGTCTGGGAGGTTGATAAACTGACAACAAATCTGTTATGTATTGAGGTGCTGATCTATTCAGTGATTTATGGACTAATATATTCTCTGAGTTACAGGGAGCCAGTGGAAGGAATTCAGAACTGGGCTGATGTGCTCTACTTTCTTAGTTCTAGTGAGAACATGAGCAGCAGAGTTTTGGATCAGCTGCAGCTGTCTGATGGAATTTTTAGGCAAACATTTTTCACTGATTGATTACACTATTGCAGTAATCAATTCTACTAAAGATAAATGCATGAATGACTTTTTTTTTTATTCCGCTTGGACATTGGTCCTTTAATACTGGAAACGTTCTTCAGGTGATAAAAGGCTGACTTAGTAACTGCCTTTATGTGCCTCTGAAGGTTCAGGTCTGAGTCCATCAGGGCTGTAATCAGTGATTTCTAGCTGTAGTAGCAGAAGCTATGAGCTAACTCAGCTTTGGTTCAGCGATTATTACCTCAGTTTTATTCAGTTTGAGAAGATTATTGCTCTTCCATGTACTTATCTGTTCTAAGCATCTAGCCAACAATCAGATGGGTTCATAGTCACCTGGTGACATTGTGATTTAAATCTGTTTGCCATCTGCACAGCTATAGTAATTGATCTGTTTGTATGCTATAATTTGATGTAAAGTTAGCATGTACAGTAGATGTTGAATCCCTGTCGCCTCACAATGGAGCCTTGAGGAACCCCGCATGTGATTTTCTGGTTTCCATTTTAATGTCCCGTTCGGACACCTAAAAGTCCCTATCCTTCAAGTAATATTTCAAATAGTCAAGTGCTGTATCGAAGATGCCTTACAGTTTTCCAGATGTTCTTATAAAATCAAATGATCAATAGTGTCAAACACTCCACTGAGGTTCAATAATATCGGCAATACCAACAAAAGTTAAAAGGCTGATAAGCCCTCCTGGTTATGACAGAAAAATCTGGACAAAAGTAAAGACATCTATTTATTGCTGCATTTATTCCATGTTAATAATAATGTTTAAGATCTCTTTCAGATACCACAAATCAAGGTTTGTCTGTACCATTTCCTGGCATCCCATGTCATTATTAGGTAGTAACATGTATTAGATATTATGTTGATATTTTGGAATCAACAAAAAAGATTATACATTAAGCATAATCATTTAGCATCATAACTATAATGAGCTTTCTTATATACTTTTGAGAGAGTCATTGAATAACCCAAGCCAACGATTTTAGATGATAACAGATAAAGCTTAATAGTTGTAAAACTTCTGATGTGTAAATCAAAGACTGCGGCGTAGGGATACAGACAAGTATGAGACACATTTGAGAATCTTTAGCAGGGGACCCTGTAGACTGCGGCTGTAGACTTTTATTATCCTCATAAACCCTCTTTACTGGCTCCCTGCTCATCAGTTTCTCCACGCCTCAGGAGATCTCTACCTCACTCCTCTACATTTATCACCGCCTTATTCTCTAAACTGGTTGTAGAAATGTTTTTGTGTGAATAGGAATGAAAGCACCTTACCTTGGATGTACTGTTTCCTGCTGATTTGAAGTGGCTGCCTCGGGAGGGCTTGAAAGTTCTAGTTGGATGACAAAAAGACAGAGGTAACTCTTGTTCTGGAAGCCCATGTCAGCACCTTTTCTGCTCTTTAACAGCTTTATTTAGACAAATTACTCTCCACTGTTGATACTATTCTGGCTTTACATGCAGAAAATGTAATGGTTCCCCTTGTATCAATGGGATTGGTTGAAAATAAGCTCAGTTTATAAGTTCCAGCGTTACTAATTTAACTCCTATGTGGAGCTGTCCAAACCTTTCACTTCTGCACTTTTATAAGAGAACAGTGCTTAACTGCACTTATTGCTGTGACTTGTTTGCAATATGACGTTAAAATTAAAGAGCATACATACAGGTATGGATATATGTTCTGGTTTCTTTTTGTTCTCCATAACAAACTTCAGTCTAAGCTTTTTTGTTGTTATTTCTTACTATGAATAGTGATAATAAAAGCTCGAAACTTGCTTTAAAATCTTCGAAAGACATTTTTTAAGTTTGATGAGCAAACTGACGCTTCAAAAGTTCAGCACTGACGCATCTATAAGCCTGTAGCATATTCTCTCTAAATGTACTTTGGGTGGAAAATTTAAGCACCATTCAGCGGAACTGACGTCGAGAGCGTCTATATTGAATAAATCCAACCTATCAAACAAACAAAGCATTACATCCGAAACGTATTTTGTGGATACTCGGCTCAACAGCGCGAGCTACGAGATAGAGCGGAAGAGTGGTGCAGTTCTGTGTTTTGGCAACACATGGCAGTTTTAATAGAATACGATCCGGTTTAAAAGCATTTAGCATAAGGAAAACTATTTCAATTTACTAAATCTGGGATTTTTCCTCTAGAGAAGCTTATCACCTTCTTTAAATTCAGAAACGTAGGTACATCAATTCATTTAAAAAATACTTTCTCGATTCTAAAGCGGGAAAACACTACAAATGATTTATACATTCAAGCTAAATTGGCTGGTCGAAATGGAGGTTAGTATGAAAACTAGGGGGATATAATGTAGAAAAACACTTGAAGAAAAATAAAAAATTACAAATTTTTGGCCTAAACTAAAATAATAAAGTTTTCCACAACAAATACTCTTCAAAAAATAACCCCAGTTTGATGAACTGCAGAAAAAAAAAAAAGAAATTTGCATGTCTATCGAAATTGTCTTTCATTTTATTTCATTCCATCCTTATAACAAACAGATGGAGAATAGAGAAATAAAAGGTTTTAATAAATTCAAAGGACACCTCGACCTGTGGGCACATGTGCAGGTGGACTAACCAATAAAAAAAAAACAGAAATAAAACCTTAAAGGCATGGAGACTACATGGGTAAAAGCAAAACTAGGTTTCCAATCATCGAGTGAATCCACACCTCTTCAGTTGGATTGTGTGGTTGGAGCAAAGGGCTTGAACATGTATGAGATGTAGAGGTAGAAATATGTCCTCACTTCCAACACCAATTAAATTATTTATAAGAAGAGGTAGAAAAAGTGTGGGCCAAGATAAACAATGCAGAGGTAGGGTGTGGAAAGACAGGGCTTCATACTGTACAGGTGCTGGTCATAAAATTAGAATATCATGAAAAAGTAGATTGATTTCAGTAATTCCATTTAAAAAGTGAAACTTGTATATTATATTCATAAATTACATACAAACTCATATATTTCAGATGTTTATTTTGTTTAATTTTGATGATTACAAATGACAACAAATGAAAATCTCAAATTCATCATATCAGAAAATTAGAATATTGTGAAAAGGTTCAAAATTGATGGCCCCTGGTGCCACACTCTAATCAGCTAATTAACTCAAACCACCTGCAAAAGCCTTTAAATGGTCTTTCAGTCTAGTTCTATAGGCTACACAATCATGGGGAAGACTGCTGACTTGACAGTTGTCCAAAAGACGACCATCGACACCTTGCACAAGGAGGGCAAGACACAAAAGGTCATCGCTAAAGAGGCTGGCTGTTCACAGAGCTCAGTGTCCAAGCACATTAATAGAGAGGCGAAGGGAAGGAAAAGATGTGGTCGAAAAAAGTGTACAAGCAAGAGAGATAACCGCACCCTGGAGAGGATTGTGAAACAAAACCCATTCAAAAATGTGGGGGAGATTCACAAAGAGTGGACTGCAGCTGGAGTGAGTGCTTCAAGAACCACCACACACAGACGTATGAAAGACATGGGTTTCTGCTGTCGCATTCCTTGTGTCAAGCCACTCTTGAACCACAGACAGCGTCAGAAGCGTCTTGCCTGGGCTAAAGAGAAACAGGACTGGACTGCTGGTGAGTGGTCCAAAGTCATGTTCTCTGATGAAAGTAAATTTTGCATTTCCTTTGGAAATCAAGGTCCCAGAGTCTGGAGGAAAAGAAGAGAGGCACTTCATCCACGTTGCTTGAAGTCCAGTGTAAAGTTTCCACAGTCAGTGATGGTTTGGGGTGCCATGTCATCTGCTGGTGTTGGTCCATTGTGTTTTCTGAGGTCCAGGGTCAACGCAGCCACATACCAGGAAGTTTTAGAGCACTTCATGCTTCCTGCAGCTGACCAACTTTTTGGAGATGCAGATTTCATTTTCCAACAGGACTTGGCACCTGCACACAGTGCCAAAGCTACCAGTACCTGGTTGAAGGACCATGGTATCCCTGTTCTTAATTGGCCAGCAAACTCTCCTGACCTTAACCCCATAGAAAATCTATGGGGTATTGTGAAGAAGAAGATGCAATACACCAGACCCAACAATTCAGAAGAGCTAAAAGCCACTATTAGAGCAACCTGGGCTATCATAACACCTGAGCAGTGCCACAGACTGATCGACTCCATGCCACGCCGCATTGCTGCAGTAATACAGGCCAAAGGAGGCCCAACTAAATACTGAGTGCTGTACATGCTCATACTTTTCATGTTCATACTTTTCAGTTGGCCAACATTTCTATAAATCCTTTGTTTTTATTGGTCTTCAGTAATATTCTAATTTTCTGATATGATGAATTTGAGATTTTCATTTGTTGTCATTTGTAATCATCAAAATTAAACAAAATAAACATCTGAAATATATGAGTTTGTATGTAATGTATGAATATAATATACAAGTTTCACTTTTTAAATGGAATTACTGAAATCAATCTACTTTTTCATGATATTCTAATTTTATGACCAGCACCTGTATACTGCTTTAAAGCACCAAAATAAACACACACACCTGCATGTTCTGTGTTCTTTAAGTGGAATGTAATTAAGGTTGCGTGATCTTTGGTTGTATGGATTTTTAGTCCTGTAACGTGACAAGTGATTCAATATGTAGGAAATAAGTTTTCCACTTGTGCTGCACTGTGACATGAGCATAAATCAATACCAATACACTCACACTAAACCCAAGATGGAGACCAGAGTAAATTACCTGCTAGGTACTCAGTTCAGATATTCACTTCACCAACACATCAGCTCCTAAGTTTGGATTAATTTCTTCGTTTGAAAAGTCAACAGAAAGAGACTCTGATAATACAAATGTAGACTAGAGGACATTAGGAATTACAGCTTTAGAGAGACAAAAGGAAGAGTCCATTCTAAAATAAAATAAAAAGATTAGCCTGCTCAGCTGCAAACTATGGAAAAGCCCACTCTTAGACATATTTATGGATACTTCAGTCCAGTCAAGGTGGAGACATCCAGGGCCACAGACACGTTCACACTGATGGGACTGAATAGAGACGTGGGCACGTTTAATGAGACAAGAGGTATAAAAGGCCTAAGAGAAATGCGTCATGTGTAGCAGCGTATTCTCACACTCTTCTCACCTTTAAACTAAGCACTTTTATCTAGATTGGAAAAAAGTACCACATAAGGAAATGACTGAGATCTCCAAGCACTCAACTTAACTCAACTCTATTTATAAAGCACATTTAAAACAACCGGGGTTGACCAAAGTGTTGTACAGGAATCACAGTTTCCGAGCATAAGATAAAAGCTGAAAGCTAAAATACATAAACACAATGCAAAAAGAAAAATTGAATGGAGATAAAATCTAATAGGATAAATGTTTCAATTAATATACATTTTAAAATAAAATAAAATTTTGCCAAATGTTCACTTAGACTTGATTAACAGCCAGGGAGAAGAAGTGTTCTTTTAGAGAGGATTTAAAAACCTAAAAGGAGTCTGCCGATCGAATATGCCAAGGCCCTTAGGTTTTTAGTCTGGTTTTAGGCATGAGCAGTGACTAGTTTTTTCACTGAAGTGGAAAAACTACTGGTACTTCTGATAACCTACTTCAGATAAATGTGACCAAATAATTGTTCTTATCCATTCTTTATGCTTTTTATGACACAAGACAAACATTTTCGTTGTCTAGGCCAGGGGTCTTTACTGTTGTTCGGTCTAAGATGCCTAGATAGATGAAGAAATGCTGCAAGGACCCGTAAATCTAAATTTAGAACTGCTGACAAAAAAGGTATGAACCTGTTAAGCCCAGAGAGACTTAAATAGATTTTTGCCTGAAAAGATGATACAAAACTAATCAAGAATAACTCCATATTTTAGGTTTTAATGTAAACCTAGTAGTAGCAGTAGTTTTTGTGTTAGTATTACTATTTTGTCTGAATTGCTTAGGATTTGGGTCACAGTATGTCGACCACTCACTACATTAAATACCTCTGGTCTAGGCTTTACAAGGGCAAATTTAACAGGATTTTCAAAACATATCCAAAGTTCTACTTTTAGAAAACTACAGAGAGAGCCTAGAACAACTATCTAGTATCATTTACGAGCCAACTGGTTGCTTGTACAAACAATTGCTGGAGAAAAGCATCTGTCTGTCCGGCCAAATGTATATATGCTACCAGGGGTTTGACTTGAACTGTGCGTTTTATAGAAATGAAAGTAAGATTGAGCTTTCAATAAACAACAACATGGGTGGATTTGTCTGAAAGAAAGGATGTTAAAAAGCAGCCATCCCCAATGTAGGATGTAGAAAAGGTTAATCACTGGGTCATAAAGCAATAAAGTGAAAATATAACCATCTTTCAGC